GACATTTTGCTAACGCACTTGAAGATCGATACAAAGAAACTAACTGGGGCAATGTATCTGTCCTTGAAACTTTCCACAAATCCTTGCATTCTTTCACCCCTACCCTAGAACATTGTGTTAGCATAACGGGACCAAAGAATGCAGGACTCGGTTCACACTAGTGCGAAAATCGTGTTACAACTCACCATGTGAAACAAAAGTGAATGAATATTAAACAACATATAAGCCTCAAAAAAGCCTCAGTAGCCCCGGTTAAGCTGCAAACCGGTTAATCCGTCCCCAGATAATCGAGAGTTGACTATAACTATTTGCATGTGGTATTTGTGAGAAATGCTCGTGAACATTGGCCATGACATACCATTAAGTGACATGTATGGCTGGAAAGAATACAAGAGAAAGCAAGGGAAGCTAATAATAAGAAAGTTTATATAACAAATCATGCAACTTCCTGTTGAATTTTGAATGGTTATTACTCAGCTGAATGTTAAAAATAATGGGTAAGGGGGGGGGGGGCGGAAATGTTCGTATGGTAATGGGATTCCATTTCTTCCAGGAGAACTTCAAACTGTCATTGAACAGGTGACAGTTGTGTTAATATTTTTTACAGCTGTTGGCATTGCATCATTTAGACCATTTGAAGAAAATTTGGAGCATTATCTTAAGGAGAGGTTAAATTGGTATACTCAAAATTTTTTAATGGCAAAATGAATTTATTATTTTCATCTCTCATTGCTGTTTTATCTTGATTTTCACACTACCACCAGTAAGTTTTATAAGTCATAATTTCTCCCATTTCTAGAATGTGTGAAATTTAATATCTTCACAATTTTTAGTTTCAAACATTGGAGAAATGGCGCACTTCTTCTATTACAGAGTTGTGTTTTGCTGAATAGAATCAAGCAGGCAGCATCGTATATGACTGCTGTTGTCAAGAGTACAGGTAACGGTTTCACAGACTGCTCATCTGTATGGTCAGCTGTACTACGTACATGACTGGAAACTTCTGGCTGAAAGTGGTACATGTCAACTTTTAGCTGTAACACTTTTTCCTTCACAAAACTTTAAAAGAATTTACCATCACAGTGTAAAATATTTCTCTGAATAATTCACTTTTATGAGCAATACACACTGCAGCTCTGTGACTTGGTTTGGTAGAACTTCCACATGTTTTTGCAAAGTTTATGCAGCCACAGTCTCATTTTCTGAACAGTTCTTGTTGCAGTATCAAGGTATGACAGGCAATTTGTGGTGTGTATTGTAATGCGTTAGGACATTGGTATGAGAAGAAATATTTTGATTTCTTGAAGTGTAAAGTCTGATTCTGGTGTTGTACAAATCCATGCATGTCTCCACATTTTTGGAAAGAGCCTAGACTTTTTGAGCATGGAATTTTAAGATCGGGTTAAAAAATCAAGTTTTAAATGTGATTTTAGTGTGCATTCCCTTGTCGAGCACATCAGTTGTAAAGACATGGGAATATTCACTGATCAGTGTGAAGATATGTGTGTGCCATGAATTTGCAGCATGTCCATTTAGTGCCGAGATATTCTCTCTTGTAAGATTTGAGGCTTTCACGGCGGTGACTATGAAGAAAGCAGTCTTCTGGGATTTGGCACCGTGTATATGTGGTGTTAACTGACGTTTCGGAGGAACGTATTGCCTCCATCTTCAGGGTAGAAGAAAAAGTATAAGAAATCTGCAAGCGACAAGACCGTGAGAACGGTAAAAGCAGTCTGCTTTTACCGTTCTCACGGTCTTGTCGCTTGACTGCTTTTACCGTTCTCACGGTCTTGTCGCTTGCAGATTTCTTATACTTTTTCTTCTACCCTGAAGATGGAGGCAATACGTTCCTCCGAAACGTCGGTTAACACCACATATACACGGTGCCAAATCCCAGAAGACTGCCTTCTTCATATTCACTCTTGTTTGCATTATTACAGTTCCAAAAATACAGGGCTTTGTTCACTGTAACAAAGTTTGTATCATTGGTAACCCTCTGTAAGGCCAAGCAGAACTAAATATTTAGAAAGTGGTTTTCATCTTCCAGAAAATATCACATCTCCGTTACGAGACCAGTTAGTTATGATTAGGAAAACAATTGCTGTTCTGAAAACAGACAAATGCCACAAATGACCTCTGTGGTTGAAGTGTCATTTTATTTAACCTCAAAGCAAGCAGTTCATATATTTATGACTGTCCTGTGAGCGGTTACAGAAAACGGCGTATATGATTTCTGCTTTTGGGAATATGCTGCATAGAATTCCTGAAATCTGAAGTAATATGATAAACTCCAGCTGTGAAAACACAGGGACAAGAAAAGTTCTGTGTGTTCATATTTGCAGGATTTAATGTGTAACATATGACAGTTTGATGAGTGGCTTGGTACACACTGCCAAAAATACCTTGTCATTCTTGCATTCTTGCTTTGGATAGTTATTAGATGCAGGAATGTGTCAAGACTAGTAGTTGAAGAAATAAATTGCAATGCCTCTTACTTAAAAAAATATATAGTTTATACCACTGTTTTTCAACCAGTGTTACTCAGCAGTCAGCTGGTTAGGTTGCAAAGTCTTTGAGAATAAGAACTCCCTTAACTGCTTGCCTGGTGAGTTTTATCTGATGTAGTGTAACCTATCCTGGGTAGATTTCTTTTCTGCCATGTTGCTCTTAAATGCTTACAATGCGATCATCAGCGTTAACATTTTATTTTGTAATGATTCTATTGTAAACTAATGTTATATTTTATGGGCATCATATAGCCAAGAGTTTTCTCTCTTAAGCCAAACACTCATGCTTACGCTTCAGACTGCTTGGTGCTATTTTACAAAAACTTGAACTCTCAACCTGCCACCTCAGCACATGAAGTGGAGAAAAGTTGGATAAATGGCAGGTATTATGCTGTGTGTCTTGCTTAGTACAGACATCTAGACAACAAAATTCAAACTGTTGCAGTGGTAAAAGTTCCATTTGTCTAGTTTGCCATACCTCTATACACAATTGAAATCAGAGTATGTTGTGTGTCACACCAATTTTGTTATCATTGGACCATGAGAGAATGTTCTGTCATGCCCAGTGAAAGGGTTAGTGATTAATATAATAATAATTGTGTACATAATTATAAGAATGCATGTCTTTTAAAAAGAGAAACTTTGTTTTTACTGTGGATGGATAATGGCATCTTGACCAAAATGACATATGGGATGGAAAATGTAAGAGGTCGAGTATCATTGCACTGTAACAGTATTGTATTATTGTCATTTAAATAGTATCTGTGTAGTCTCTATTACATGTTTGCCGACCCCTGAACCAAAAGTGAAAATTACATTTAGTAATCTCATCTGTGCATAATTTTCACTCGCTAGCATAGATTCCCAGTGTGTTGTGAGATGCAAGATCGGAGTAATCATTAATGTATTAAAAAACTTCATACAGAATTTATAGATAATGGTTAGGATGTCTCTGTACAAATTTTAATGTGCCTAATGCCAGTTCTTTAATTATTATTGTCAGATAGATAACTAATAAGACATTTTGTGGGTACCATGTTGTACAATGTACAAGAAGTTGCCTCTGAACACTTTGTGTTCTTTTTGAAGATTGTTTCCACACATAATTTCTTAATTCTGCACTAAGTGACAGTAATGTAACGCAGACCATGAATGTTTGTATGGCTGCTATGTTTGTGGTGTTTGTGGCAGTAAATTGGAAAATACGGAGGTAGAGCACGCTCTTGTAGCTTGTTGTTATATCAAGTTAATTAAAATTTGCATGTTCTGAAATTATTAGAGGGTAAGGAAAGGTGGATGCACACATGGATACAATATAATCAGGACTGAACATTGTGATTAGGTTGTTAACAGTCGTGCTTCTAATTTCGAAAGTTCTGGGATCAGATACAATCTGAGGACCAAGGTTTTTCGTGGCCTTTCTTAGCTCCTGATGACGTCCAGGATAGTACTTCAAATTAGGCCATTACTACTTATTGTCCCATCATTTGACACTATATAATTTGAACTCTTGAAAGTATAATTAAATAAAAGAAGAATAAATACCATAGGGCTACATTTATACAGTAAAACAACTGGGCTAGAAGGTAATGTTTTGTCAGGATTACTGTGTTCATGGATTTTATTCATTGTCACATATTCGTAAAGAATGCAGCATTGATTTTGACCTCTTTCTGTCCTCACCTGAAGGTGAAGGCAGGTTCAGTTTCCAAAATATTATGTTCTTTTAGAATATTATGCATTGGATAAAGTCCAGAAACTTGGCAGTACCACTCTATAGACAGTGTCACATAACTTCGAACAAGGCCCTGCATCCCTAATCAAATCTAGCGCATAGCTTGTGGTGGGAGGAGTTTCTTAACACTCGTTCTTCCACCGGCCGCCTGTCGCTTCTCACGCCCTCCACCCCTTTGTCTGAAATTTTTCTTCTGCACATTCAAGGTTACTCTTGTCCTTGTTCGAAGTTACATGACACTTGCTATAATACACCATTGTTATACCCTTTTTTGAATCGATGGTGACTTCTTGTTTTATTGTGTATGATGAGGGCTTTCAGGTCATATGAATGTGTTACACAAGTGCTGATTAAAGATCAGACGAAGATTACTGTCTTCTTGGATGTGGCGAAGTGTAATCTGTTAAAATGTTAACCCATTTTCAGAAGAACCTGCTGCCTCCATTATCAAGGTAGAAATGGGCTACCAGGAGATGGCAGCAGGCTCTTCAGATTGTAGGAGACAGTAGCTCTGCGCAGGATGGCTCAGGTTTTAGTGCTTCTGACTTGGGTGCTGGAGGACCCCAGTTTAAATTTTGTGTCGGACGTTGGCTATCCTGACAGATTTTCATTGTTTTCTTCATTTTCCAGCTTTGCAGGAAAATCCAGGACAGTACGTTTCATTAGGAAATAATCACTTTGTCCCACATCGTTTTTAGTTCATTATTCACTACTCGGCCTTTCATTTGGTACTGTATAGTGTGGGTTAATGGCAGTGACATTAAATAAATTTTAAATAAGTAAATAGACATATCCAGTGCTGTGATAACTTTATATGTTGCAAACGTTATCTAAATTGGCTTTTAGAGAAATGAGGATTGTACAGAAAAGTAGTTTGGCTTGATATGTAGTGAAAAAAATAGCAGTATTGTATAATCATTCAAATGTCTTTGAGTAAAATGTTGAGAAGTGAAATTGACATGTTATTGCGTTTACAGGTTGTGTGTGTTCTTTGATTTCTAGTGTATACAGAAGATGGTGCTTTGATCCCTAAAAATACTTCATTGATTGTTGCTCGCATTCCTCTGACAGCACAACAGAAGAAAGCATGGTGAGTGACAGGAACTTGTAAGTAGTTGGAACACATTAATTCACTGGCTCATTGTCACTGTAATGGAGTTGACTACTGACTTCTCTGACGATTCTCTTTGCTTCGATCATCAGTGTACTGTATTTTCAAAATATTTGCATTATCTTCAAAATTTTCTGCCATGCTGTCTGCTGTGTTTGTATAGCTGGCTTTAGAATTTTATATGTAAAGCAACACTCAAAGCCCAGCTTTGGAAGGTTTTAGATGTTTATTTAAAAAAATCAGAACATTCTAAAAATAGAACCAAAGGCTTAATATTTTGAAAATGTAGCAAAAACGTTTTAAAAAATGAAATTAGGAGCCTAAACATGTGAACTTGTTCAGTGGTAAACTTCTAAGGTTGGCAGCAGTAATGCGATGGAAAGTGTTAAATTTTAACATCATTTTTAGGTCATCTGTTAATGTGTAAATACCATGTGATACATCAGATACGGCACTTAACAATAAGGTACGGAATGTATTACAGTAGTTGAGGCCATATGTGGACGGAACAGTCTTATCTCTGACCAGTACTGGAATTCATTTTATTTAGCATTCATAATTGCTACAGCAGTAACACTTAAACAAGTCACATAATTAAATATGTCATTCTTGAAATCTTTCTGCCCAGATACCTAGAGGATTAGAATTTGTCAACAGTAAATAATTACTCTTGACATGGTTAAGCCCACAATTAAAATATAACACACACTATCAAAACCAGATAAATAATCAAATTAGATGCAAAAATAAAAAATGCTTACTGCACTAGTTCTGTTATCCTTATGAGTTTATCGAGAGAATTGTAATAGTATTACAGTAAATCAGACGTCCTGTATTTGACAATGTCAATCACCAATCACATGAAGATACTGCAATCAACCATTTGTTATCTATTTCTATTACTGAGTAGAGAGAATATGCTTACTACTGTCCCTCTAAAAGAAACTCATACATTGTAAAGAATGGATGATCTAGTAAAAATACTGTTAGCTTATGTTTAAAGTCATTACTTCCATATGGTTTTCTTAATTTCAAAGGCAGTTCATTATACAGTTAAACACCCATATTGATAACACTTTCTTAAAAGTTGATGTGTTACAGTTTGGCACATGAAAATCTTCTTTCCTTCTAGTATTATATTCATATAAATCTAAATTTCTCGTAGAGTATAAATTATATTTCTGAAAATAGCACAACACCTCAAAAATATACAAGGATAACAGTTAAAATCTTTAATTCTTATAAATAGGCCTGCATAATGTTCTGCTATTTACACTTTTCATTAAATGAAGTATCCTTTTTGTATTTTCAGCACTTTGCTATTTTTGCTTTCTCCACCCCAGAAAGTCAAACCATAATTTTCTAAGGATTGAAATCTGTAAAAGGAAATATTCCTGAGTGTATAGAAACTCACTTCATCTTTCAAGGATTTAATAATATAACATGCCTTATTCAGTATTAGACACAAGGACTGAATATGTGAGCTCCATTTTTAGATTATTTGTTATATTGATACCTAAAAATCTGAACTGTGATGTGTAATTAATTTTTATATTTTTGAAAGTAATAACTGTCTCAGACATGTCATATGATTTATTTAATTGCAATAGCATTGCTTTTGTCTTGTTAATATTTATAACCAGGTTATTTTTTGAAAACCAAGATTCTAGCTGGGTCATCACTCTTTTTATTTTTTCTTGGAGGGTAATTTTATTCTTATCTATTACCAGTATATTGGTATCATCTGCAAAAATAACCACTTCTCCATTTGATATATAATGGTAAATTATTTGTATATAATAAAAGCAGGAGCAGGCCCAAAATAGACCCTTGAGGTATTCCAAGTTTTATATTCATCTGTAGAATTATAACTGTTCATACAATATTTATTATCATTATATCATTAGAGGTTATTTCTACATACTGCGAACACAGTGTGAGATAGGATTTTAACGAAACATTATCTTCCCTTTTATTCCATAATGATCTAATTTTTCAAGAAGTATATCATGAACAATAACATCATACATTTTTGTGAGATGAAAGATTATACCACGTGCAATTGGCTGCCTGTCCAATGCTTCCTGAGCATTTCCAATAAAAGACTGTTACACAGATATGGTCAGCTTACTTTTCTGAAACCCATATTGCTTTTCTGTTAAAATCTTAAATTTAATAATGAATGATACCAATCTGTTATACACTATTTTTTTTTTTCAAAATTTTTTTGAGAATATAGCTGTAACAGAGATATGTCTCTAATTACTAATTTCTTGTCTAGTACCCTTTTTGTAAACAGGCCTAATTTTTGCAATTTTCAGTAAATCTGGAAATACACCCTGATTTATGGGTTTATTAAATATGAAATTTTTTTTTGTACATGTGATACATGTGTTTACTAGAAAATCGGGGATTTCGTTGAATCCTGCAGAAGCTTTGCCATTTAATTTCGATACTGCTGAAACTATTTCTTCTTCAGAAATCAGAAAAAAATACTAGAGTTTGGATTGCAGTCCACTACTTTTACTCCCACTTTTCTCCACTATTTCTTATACCTTATCAATAAAGTAAGAATTTAATGTATCTACCACGTTCTGAGGGTGATTTATTTTCTTTAAATTATTTTGTAACCAGATATCCTGATATGATTTTCCTGAACTTCCCATTTTCTTATTCATTATTGTCACACCATTTTAGTTGGGCTTGATGCACATACTATTTGTCATTTATTTTTTTAGCTTCAGAGATAACTTGTTTACAAATTCTGTGATATCTGTTGATATAACTCAGTGTATCCCTTAACAGTGACATCCTGTACTTCATATTATTTAAAAACCTCATTTTCTGACAGGAAACCTTTATTCCTATAGATATCCATGAATTATTTGTAATACCTCTATTCGTTGTTAGTTTCAGTGGAAACGCTGTACTAAAATAATATAAAAACTTATTTATAAATGGTTGGTACAGTTCATTTACATTCTTTTCTAAATAAATTTCCTCCCATAATTCACTATTTAACATGACTGTGAACTTAACTATGTTCTCTTTAGAGAACTTACTTTGCAGTACCTTTTTTAACTTTGTATTTCATGTGTATATACACCCATAAGATCTGGGCCAGATGGTCAGTAAAACCCATGATTATGATATCTATATAGTTCTTATTAAACTGTCTCTTTGTAACCATGACATCTATCAAAGATTGACAACTACTGGTAACTCTTGTTGGTACAGTGACTGTATTCATTAAATCATAAGGTACCAGTATATTTTCCAGTGCTTATTCTCCTTGAGAAGGTTTATATTCCAATCTCCACAAATTATTAGTTTTCCTTTTTTTTATGTACTCTGTCAACAAGTGTTTCCAGTTTGTCCAAAAACATATGAACATCACTATGGGTGGATCTGTAAATACAGATCAGTAACCATTTGAACTCTACTACAGATATCTTAAAGTATTCTTCACAGCACCACTCATTAAGAAAAGNACTCGTTTGACTTGTTCTGTATCCAAAGGTACTAACCTGCTTAGGATTTATAGAATGTAAATAAATTCAATTCAATTCAATAAGAAAAATAATTTCTATAGTATTTAACTCTTTGTTTACAAATATACAAGATCCTCCATTTTTATAACCCTTCCTACAAAATTTACTAACCAATTTAAAATTATTAATCTCTAACAAGACTATTTGGTCTTCTGCCAGTCAGTGTTCTGTAAAACTGATAATTCCATTTGCTTATTTAATAAACTTTGAACATTGTGATATAAAATTGCAAATTTGTGATCCTTTAAATTCAACTTCATTCCCCTTTCACATTTTTGGTTATTTATAATCATGTACACAATCATCACATTTGTGTTAAGCAAAAGTTGAAGCATTTGTGAAAATCTTGTGACTTGATAAATATTTTGGGTGCTAGATAAAAGTGAATTAGGGTAGCCTTGCTGTGGCTTTTGCCCCCCCCCCCCGCTTACGAGGTTCATTTCTTCCTGTCATACTGTTTGTTTCAAACTGCCATAAGCGACAGTGAAATTGCCAGAGCCACAGAAGCCAACCACCAAGTGGGAAATTATTTGCCAGGCATCAATTTTGCATCACTCCCGGTGATCATGTAACAATATTTTTATATTTTTATACTCTTGACAATAAAGATTACTTATAATATGTAGCATGTAATATTTCTGGCACTTTTGAACATACGTTTTAGTGGAGTATGAGTCGGTTCAGTGAAATGTGCACTTAACAGTTCTTGATTTCAAGTCAGTAATCCCAGTGTTGAATTTCCTTCATGTAAGATTTTCCATGCTCTGGTGTTCAGATGCACTGCTCCCCAGAGAAGCCTTAAGGGAGGGAGGTCAGTGTAGCAGTGTTAGTATGTGCTGAATTTTGGCTCACTGTGTACCTCAGTCTTTCATTTGTTTTAAGGGATCGTGCAGAGTCTAATCAACAGTTGGCTGGGCTTCCCAAAGGGGTGAGTTTCAACAAGCAGCAGTAAATGAGATGAATTTCTGTATTAGAATTCATGCTGTAAATAAATCGATGTTAGAAAGCTGTACATACACTGCAACTTTAAGAACATTAGCAGCATTTGGAAAGTGGACGGGCTAGGGGAGTGAGTATTGCTTGTTACCATGGTTTTCTTGGTTGTCTGTTGTGGAGGGCTCATTGAGATTTATTCTGACTGAGCTGCTGAAAATACATTTTCTTTCTGAATTTCTGTACTTATATTTGGAAGGTGCTCAGTTCATATCTCACCTAGGACATGACTAATGTCTGAAATTTGTCATGGTTTTCCTCAGTTTCTGCAGGCAAATACCTTGATTAGGCTACAACTCCTTTGTTCGAGATCCTGTTTGTTATTCATCTGTTGTCAAAGCATTCATTGGCATATACTGTAGCTACTGACAGCACCGTTAAATAACCCATAAAAGTACTCTTCCACCTCTCCCCTCCACCTTACATTGTTTTGAATGAAAGTCAGAGTTTCCAGTCTCATCTGTCTTCCCGCAATCCTTCCTTTTGAATTTCTTGCCACTTCCTTCCCTTCTTCCATTAAGGTAAATGTGTTATCCTATGAAGGTGTAAGGGGGAGTGGTTGTATAGATCCACATTTTCTTCACCTCGGAACTAGCTGGAGGTGAGTGGTCAGCTTCACGCCCTGGCCGCTTTACCCCTGGGGAAAAAGCTCCCAGTACCCATTGGATAGGAGGTTGGGTGGCCCCCAGAGCCGGTCTGGACAATGTGGAGAAGAGAAAATTCTTGGCCCTACTGGGACTCAAACTCTGACCCCTCAATCGTCCAGCCCGTAGCTCGTTGCTATACTGATTGCACTATTCCAGCTCTTCTCTCTTCCAGTACATGGCTAAAACATTTTATTCTGGGTCATCCCATAGGCCTCTTTGCTTAAAATTATAATTATAATGCCCTTTTTGGTATCCGTGTTCTGTCCATTCTTTTATGTGGCCTAACCATTGCATTTATTTACTGGTTTTGAACTCCAGCTTCTATTTTGTTTTGAAAGTTGGAATGTGTTACAGCTCAATAAACAGAGTGTTCTGTCATGTAACCTCAATCCATTTGCTTGTAGGGTGATTCAGCAGTTGATGGACAAGATCCAAGTGCTCACAGGCTAGCAAAGGTAAGTTTATCTTCCATTTTCTTTTTGAAATGCAGGAATGATGAATTGTGACATAGCAATACTCTTGATCATGTAACTACTTCGTGTCTAGTTTTGACACTCAGTGCATAATTGAGTCTGTTTTCACCTTTAAATAAACGTTTTATTGGCTCTGATGTTGCACTCTGCAGTGGTGTCCTGAATGTGGGAATTAATCTTATAAAGAATAGTACAGTAAGACCTCGCTAATTCATATTAACCGAGACCAAACTCTTGTCCAAATTATAGAAATGTACTAAAAATATGATTAGGGAAGCTATTAAAATTGGTCCTCTCATATCTTTTTAGGTAGTACAGCTTTATTTATTAATTTATATTTGCATATTATAAAATAAATTTACTTGCCAAAAGATATAAAAATGTAAGTTTTGACATCATTCTTAAAATATTTTAGGTAGCCTGCATACTTAATATTATTGACGTTGGACATGAGGCCTACATGTATCTACTGTCGTGTGCTAACGCTGCGTGCTACAGTTTGTGATCATCAAGGTCAAAATTTGGAAAAGAAGGAACAGTTGTCTGAATCATTGCCAATTCCGAATTATTGAGGTTTCAGTGTGTTGGATGTCAGCACACAATGGATGACATTTTCATGAAATTTTATGTTGGGAATTTCACTAAAAGTTGTGTATCCATTCTGATTTGGTACAAATTAGTGACAGTAGTTGATGAAACCTACACGTGTATCTTCACACATCTTGGGAATGGTTTGCTAAATATTTATCAGAGCAAAAAATGTTTTGAATAAAAATTGTAGAGAAAAGTGAAGTGCATATTTTATGCCCAGTACACACTTTCTATAAGTTGTATGATATGCAAGATAATTAAACAGTTGAATGAAAGTGCCAGAATTGTTACATCATGTGTAAAGGTGAAGGGAAAGTCGTGCCTGTGCTTAACTAATTGAGCACTATACCATGAAGACATATGGGGGAGTGTATTTTTTTTCATTGCTAGTGGGGTGGGACTAAGTCCCTTGCACTGCAGCTACTTCTGGCCTATTGTACCAGCCCCAGATGATAGGTGAGGGTGATTATGGAGGAATTGGTGGAATAAAGATTGGCAGGGGAAACCGAAGTACTCTGAGAAGACCTGCCGCAACACCACTTTGTCCACCACAAATCCCACTTGACCAGACCCAAGATCGAACCCGGGCTGCCACAGTGGGAAGCCAGCAACTAACCGCTTGAGCCAGGGCGCGGCCTGGGGGAATGTATATATTGATCCTAGTATTCTTGTCATCGACAATAGTTGGTGGTGAGTGATCAGATTAATGCCCCCCCCCACCCCCCCACCGAGGAAAGAGGTCCTGCTTACCCATTTGATAGGAGGCTATGTGGACATCCATAACCAGTCTGGACAAAATTGAGAGGAGTAAAATCTTACTTCTGCTGGTTGCAAACTTCAACCCCTTGGCCATCTAACCCATAGCTATTTGCTGTGCTGATTGCACTGGCATGGACATCTCATAACTCATTTCATTTTAATATTGTTACAATTGACAGGTTGAGCCAAACATGGTACTGGAGTATGATTGCTTGTAGCACTGGGCTCAGTCTAATGGTTTACCTATCATGTAGAAGTGTATGACTAATGAAGTTACACTGTAATAAATGCTTCATCTTGGAACTGTAGTACATGTGTTTTAGGCTGTTGATTTATCGAGCTTGGACGCAAGTGAAGAAGATAAAATACAGGCTATGATGACTCAGTCAACACAGGACTACAATCCAGTGAAGTATGTTATAATATTATGTTGTCATTGTTATATTGCGAATTCCCATACTGGCTGTGTTTCTAGACCTGGCCGCTCTCAGCAGCACATGCAGTGAATTTGGTTGAGTTCACAAACTTCATTAAAGATTGTAGGGTCTGTGCAGGTTTTTTTTAATGCTAGTGGGGTGGGACTAAATCCCTTGTACTGCTGCCACTTCTGGCCTATTGTACCAGCCCCAGATGATAGGTGAGGGTGATTGTGGAGCAGTTGGTGGAATGAAGATTGGCAGGGGAAACCGAAGTACTCGGAGAAAACCTGCCCCAGCGCCACTTTGCCCACCACAAATCCCACTTGACCAGACCCGGGATCGAACCTGGGCCGCTGCGGTGGAGAGTCAGCGACTAACCACATGAGTTATGGTGCGGCCTAGCGGCCTCCATAGTCTAGATGTAACATTCCCACCTCATGACTTGTAGTACGCGGGTTCAAATACCCGGCGGAGGTCGTCGAATTTTTAAGGGCAGAAAAATTCAGGGAACAAGTCCTCCGGGAGGGACTTTAAGCCATGGGTCCCGTGTCGTAGCTTTACAGCATGTAAAAGAACCTCATATCTCCAAAGGAGGTCACTGAGCCAAATTATGGACGTTTCCCGCCCAACAGCAGTCTCTAATACCTCTGGTAGATGGGGGAAGTGTTTTAGTAGAGGAGTGTTTTGTTTTGTAATGATGTGCTGTCCTATGACCCATGTGAAATGCTGCAGTCTGGACAAAGTACTGGTGATTACTGATTGTAGGCTTACCTGGTGGTTAGTTATTGATGTTGATTTCATATTTTGGTTACACTGTGTGTGGGTGATATTACTGATGTTTCAGAGGTACATGCTACTTCAGCTTTCCTGAGGAAGGAGGAAGCATGTACCTTCAAATGTCTGCAATATTACCCACAGTGCATGGTGCAACAACCCAAGGATAGAATCACCATCAAAGGTTTGGTAAATGACTGCCATCAGATAAGGTAGTAAAAGGGCTAAGAAAATAATGTAAACTAATACAGTTTCATATTATATACCAGTGGTAAAATTACTGCTTTAGTTGTGTTTTTATATGGCGAATCACTTTGTAATTATGTGTGTAGAGGGTTAATGAATTTTTATTGTCTAGTTACATGAAAATACGAGGTGCTGGTCAGATGGGAGAGGTCCCAACTTCTTATCGCTGTTTCAAGTGTCATCAGCCTGGTCATTGGATAAAAAACTGTCCTCTTGGTTTGAACCAGGTAACAGTTTCAGTAGTGTTAAGTTGTCAACCCAACCTTGTAGGATTTGAGGTTCTCACAATAGTGGTTATGAAGAGTTCTGTTTTCTGGCATATAATGCCATGTAGTCCGTTGAAAGTTGACTGATATTCTAGAGGAACATACTGCCTCCATCTTCACGGTCAAAGAATAAGTCAATAAAGGAATCAGCATTGAGCAGGTAGCAGGCAGAGCTGATTTCTTGCTTGGCTTGCTCTTTGACTTTGAAGATGGAGGCAGCATGTTGCACCAAAACGTTGGTTGACTTTGCACAGACTACATGGCGTTATCCCAGAAGATAGCACTTTTGGATGCACGTGTGTGTTGCTGCTGCTTATGTAATTATATTGTGACATGACGGCTGAAAAAATTCTGGAGCCAAAAGAAACGTCCGTTGCTAGGTTTATGGGACGGTAAACATGCGATGGTGCCGTGGAGCAAAGATCCGTTGCTATGCGATGGTCAGTAACCATCGTGACTGCAGTAACAGTTATGCATGCAAGAACAGAGGAACTGTTGTATGCAGTGTTTTCTTTGTGGTCCATGCTGAGGCTGTGTCAGAAGACGAGCTGGAGAAGCCAGACAGTTTGCAGGCAGGACTAACCTGTTATAGTGAGTGATAGCCAATGGTGGCCATACATGGCTAGTTAGTCAATGGTCAGGGTTTGTGGCTTTGAGAAGTTACAAGTCAGTTGCCAGACAGTGAAAGGAGGAGCTATTGAATGTGGAAGTTGAGGAAACTACAGTGTTTTGATCTGTTACCAGGCGACAGCTAGTGAAGACAAACTGAGAGTGACTGGATGATTGCTGTAGTGAATTGTAAAGCATGTGAAATAGCAATAGCGATATAATTTACTTGTAGTAACAATTTATAAGTGGTCAGTAAATCAGATTATGAATTCAAACCCCATGTCTAGCAACTAACTATGTGACAGTATTGTAACTTGTATAGCTGGGCAATGGCTCAGTAAACACATTTCCTAGGTAACACAGTCAGCTATAGAACTTCTGTTACTAGGGTTTTGAGACACGCAGTGTGTAACTTTAACTGATCTAAAGCCAAAATCTATGGGTGTGAGCGGCTCAAAGCACAGTAATGGCTTAGAATGCAATAACTCTCCTGTTGAAAAGGTGTCTTCTGCATGATTCACCAAAACATTATAACAAGAAAGTTTGCAAGAGAGAATGAATTAATTACAAAATTGCAGAATTATGGAATTACTTAGTTGAGGTCTTACAGAATTAAGGAATTGGACTTGGCTTCGTACCGACTTGAATCATCAAATTCGTTCCAGGAGCATCCAAGAGTTGCATCGCTGAGAACTTATTTATTATCATTGCAGTAATCTTTTGAAGTGTTATAATTATTTATAATTACAACTGGTGACTGTCCAGTAAATTGATTCATATCCAGAACCCATTAATGTTTAGGCACATAACCAGGATAAATGGCAAACTGGTGTCAAAAGTGGGATGTGGATTGGATCAGAATGATCAAGCAGTTGGTTTTATGATTGCCTCGTGTACTTATGTATTATGGAGATGCAACAGATGCTGGCCAACCAGGAAAGGTGGGGGCCAATAGGAAAGCTGATCAGGTGAAGGCAGATGACAATCTTGAGGAAATGATGACAAGGCTGAAAGCCACTCGAGAAGACTGACGTCAGTCAAGAAAGAGTGAATATACAGCTCACAGAAATAAAATCCACAGTAAGTGTCATTGAAGAGAAGATCAAAGCTGCAATATACTGCATTTGGTCAGAGTTAGAGGAGATCCTCCAACATCAGATGGAAGGCATTGTGTCCTGTGTTGACCAAAAGACGTAGGACCTTCGAAAGGAAGTGACCAAAACACAGGTAGAATGACAGGAACTGAAGATGTCCCATGATACGCGGACAGAGAAAATCCAGGAAGCGAGGAAAACCCTTTATTTGAAGGCAAATCCTGAGGAAATAGAGCCTGAGGTGAACCATCAGGAGCTCCCTAAGGAGGATGCTGTAGTGAAGCTGATCGTTGGACTGAGGAAGTGGCACAGGGGCCAGAATCTAGCTGCAGTGCTACACAGAGAGCCGAAGGAACTAACCCAAGGAGATGGTGGAGTGAGTATAGATGAGGTTTTGATTGGTAACCGGATTTATTGGACGCCTGACACTTGTGACTACAAATAACTACAAGAATCTCATTGAGTTACTCAAGATCACTAACACACATATAGCCTTCTCAGTCTTCACTAACCGTTGCTTGGTAGCAGCTTCCAGTAGTGGACGTTCTCCTTTCTCTGATTTCCCAAACGGTCCCAGGCCTCAGTTACCACCCTCTCACTTCTCACAACTGCAGCTTTCAACCGACCGCACAGAAAACATCTCTCCCATTATTGTGTGTTCTCTCGTTCTCGGGGAAACATGTCCACAGAGCTGTTCCCTAGCAACAGCTATCATACTATCACCTGTTTACACAGCTGTTAGTTGGCAATGGGCCTGCATGTCACAGTATGTTTTGAGACTGAATTGTTTCATCTTACAGGAGCCAATAGAAATTAAGAAGAGTACTGGAATTCCACGTAGTTTCATGGTCCCAGTAGAGGGACCAGGTGTCCCGGGTGCAATGATGACCCCAACAGGACAGTTTGCTGTTCCAGCAATTGATCAGTAAGCATCCTGTAGTCACACATCTTTGATTTTAACATGGTGCATGTTAATATACGATTGAGATTTGAACTTTCCACTGTGGTGAATATGAAGGCTACAGTGTTCTGGGATGTGACACCATGTAGCCAGGTGGAAGTTCACAAGTGTTTCAGAGGAATGTGCTGCCTCCATCATCAGAGTTTAGCAAAACTGTACTTGGTTCCTGTTTGGCTTGCTTGTCTACCTTGAAGATGGAGACCATACTTTACTCTGAAACACTTGTCAGACCTCTGCCGAAGTACACAGCGTTCTGTCCCAGAACTGTGAGAGCCTCAGAATGAGATAGGAGACATTATATGGGTGATCTTTGTGCTTCAGATTGTTAAAAGTCTGTGGTGTTCATTTGCAGCCAAGCATATAAGGAAGGCAAGAAAGAGAGACCTCCGTTCCAGCAGGAGCCAGAACCAGTTGTTGAGAAACCTGAGATTCCGGAAGATCTTCTGTGCAGCGTGTGCAAGGACCTGCTTACTGACGCAGTCATGATCCCATGCTGTGGGAACTCTTTCTGTGATGAATGTAAGTGCTGTAATTATGTTGAAGTTGTTTCCAAATCAGTGTGTTCAATGTGTGAAAGGGTTACCTAGTTACTGCTGTTTGCCTGAATGTTATTGCATTTGACATGGGACTGTCATTCATAGTGTTCTGAGTTTGATCCCCACTCACATGAGTGTGTAGATTTTTCTGCCTGCAATGGTTCAGAGCTCATCTTAGGCTGTAGCTGGTGGCCATCATTCTCAATATCACCTTGGGAATAATTTTATGCAGTGAATTAAGTTGGGCTGATCAAATTAATTACATGATGAAAAAAAAGCTTGGAAGGCACTTCATTTTACAATGTTATTCTTAAAAAGGGAAATAGTATTAGTAAAAGTTTAGCCTACACGTCACTAGTGCATCTGATTCTTGGGGTGGCATGCTTGGATCCTTACAGGAAGGGAGAGAGAATTGCGCTAGACCAGGTGCAAAACATGACAGCTAAATTTGCACATCATAGAAATTATTCATATTGGGAAACATTGATAGAGCACAGAAAGAAAGCTCACATATGTGCTTTCTTCAAAGCGTACCCAGGAGAATGGGTTAGGCTATAGGCGATAGATTGCAAAGGCCATGCTATCTGAGCAGGGTCGATCATGATAGGAAATTTAGGAGCAGAAAGCAAAAGACGGATATTGGAAAATATTCCTTTGTAAACAGGACCATCCAGCCCTGGAACCAACTACCTGCAGATGCTTTAGGGACTCTTCTGTAAGTCCAGTAATTTTAGGAAAAGGGTTAGGAAAGTAATAAATAAGGTGAAGTGAAGGTGTGGGAGAGATCATCCAAAAATGCAGTGAAGTGAAATGAATTGAAGTAAAGTAAATTGTGAGGATGTGGAAGTTATGTAAATGTAGTGAAGTGAAGTGGAGTGGAGTGAAGGTCATGGTGAAAGTGTGGTTGCATAAGATCATGACATTATGTATTCCATTACTGTTACTGTTTATTGTATAGTATATTATTTATATTTATTAATATCAATTTATTTAATTGTATTTGCATTGTATTTTTTGTGTATAGTGTGTCCTTTATTGCTTTTGTAGTTCTGTGTGCTATGTTTTGTATATTTCTCACAATGAATATGAATTTTATTATATTTTTTATTGTTTCTGCTAGATGTGGTTTGACGATGATTACTGTTGCTGTTCGGTGTTATTTCTTGAGATGCACAAAGCTTGATGTATGACATATTTCCCATAGTTTTAATGATAGAATGGCAGAACCAGATTTTCTAGATGCCCCTCATTGAGGTTCGTATCATGACATCTAGTTGCTCAGCAAACTGAAAATCTGGGGGGGAACCACTGCTATAACTTACAGTAGGAGTAACTGACAGCATTGTTTAATGGTTTGGTGGTTGCTTTTTTTTTTTTAAAGCTTGTTTGTTCCTAAAAATGTGTCTAAAAGCAGTAAGTGGAATAGACATCCGGGTATCCACCCTTTATTATGTTGAGGTCAGTGACTTCTTAATTGTTAAATGAACAGGACCCTTTATTCATCAGGGAGGTTTTAATTTTTTATTATAAATCTTGTGGTATGTTGTGTGATGTAAGCAAGATCTTTATAATTCAGGTATCCGCACGGTGCTGCTTGAATCCGAGGATCACGAGTGTCCAGATTGCAAAGAGAAGGATGTCTCACCTGATACACTTATACCAAACCGTTTTCTTCGTAACAACGTGAATAATTTCAAGAATGAGACGGGCTACAACAAACGCAGCATGAGACAGCCCCGATGCTCGTCACACCCCACTCATGGACAGCCCGTACAGGTTATTGGGGCACCACCACCAATGCAGCAGATACCATCTGAATCTTCAGGAACGTTGTGTGAATTCACTGAAGCTTCTGCAGGTTTGTTTGAGTTACTGTGTGTTCAGTCACCTTCTGTCTTACCTGCATTGTGTGCAGATACCTGCCTGCAGAGAATTGGAGAGTTCTAGGAGGCTTGGCCTTAGCTTTGGGTATGTGTGTACAGAGTAATTCAGAATGAAGTAAACACTTTAAAAAATCATAGAAGTTAAATTCTTTGCATAATGTTCATGTAAGTCAAACAGACTGATGGAGAATCTCTTCAAGTTTCTTACAGAGAGACTCACTACAGTGTCCCCAAGTTACACGGGAGACATCAATGCTGAGGGCCCCCCCTGCCCTCGCATGGTGCATGGTTTCATCAGTGACATAGGAATATTTGGAACTCTTTCCCTCGCAGATGTGGTTTTTGTTTTGAAACTGATTTCAGTACATGTAACTCAGTGCCTTTGGTGGATTCTTCTGGTTGTGTTCATGAAACTGCGGTTGCACACTTGTAACAGAATTTTGCTTTACGTACTGAATGACACAGTACCTTCTGCTTTGTAGATGCTGTTTTCATAGGACATGTGGCCATAGTGGATTGGAAGATAAGTGTTTCTTTCCGGTATGTATGATGCCACTGTGAAATGAATGTCTTATTATTAGCATCTGAAAGCATCTGCTTCGTTTTGAATAACCCTCCTTCATCCAGCAGAAGCCAGTCTTTGATATTTTCATGCCTGGTTTCAGTCTCTCCAGCTGCGCTCAACACTGTCTGAAAGTCCTCTTGTTCTAATCACTCTTGCATATAAATGCCTGTTTTTTTTTTTTTAACCCGTTGCCGTGGTTCGACGTGTATGTTTCGTCAGGGATTTAAATCGTCTGGGGGGGTTCGACGTGTATGTTTCATCCAGCTGCACACCTATGTTATAACGCCCATAATAATTGATGGTTTTGCTGTAGATTGTTAGATTTTTCGCTGGCCTGTTGTCAGTAGAACAGAGTATAAATAAGACACGACTTTATCTGCGCCAAGTCATCGTTACATATACCTGTCTTGCAGCAAAGTTCCTGTTGCTTCTGGTAGAGGTTCCTCGTTCAAGCTGTTATGAAAGGCGTGTTTTCTTTGCTTTGAAGATATAAACAGTAGAGACGTGATGTTTATAAATAATATTGCCCTGAACTGGCCACTCTAACACACTCAATTGGAATTCTTAGAATAAAGGATGTCCATAAGTTTTTTCTCGCATGATCCATTGATTTCGCACAGTACAAAGGCCCAGTTCTTAGAAAAACGCCACAATTTAAGGCAGAACACTGTGGTCACCCCCTGAGACGATACGGATGTGTGTGGGGGAGGGAAAAAGACTCATTATCGCTCCAGTTGACGCCATTTTATCGTACTGACCTTGGTGGTCGTTTCGAGGGATGACCATAAATATTTTTTTGAGCCAGCTAAGCTCTGCTTTCGTTCACTACATACCAGACAGTTCTTAGAATAACTTCATGAATTCTGTGGTCACCCCTACGACATCTACAGCCGCCAAAATGGATGGAATATCAAAGGCATAGCAACAAACCCTTGTTATGATAACTCGTAACGTTGAATTTACTACAGCTGACCTGGCTAGCAATACGACTCACGGAGAGACATTTCTTCTTATATTCCCCCCACGGGGAAGGCAAGGCCGCACAGAAGATGTTTTGTTTACGGAAAAATAGCCAGATGAGAGAGATACGCAGTACTGGTATGGTGATGTGAGTCAGCGCTGTGTATAGTAGAATGCTTCAATGCGTGCAACACTCCGCTCAAATTCTGAACCACCACCGAGATACCGGGCACTCATATTATAAGGCAAAGTTATAAAACAATCTTTTAAGATCATTTTAGTGACAGTTTCATGCTTCAAGGCGTACGATACACTGCTCAAATTCTAAACCAACTGCTTCCATTGCCGAGATAACGGGCGCTCATATTATAAGGCAAGGTTATAAAACCACAATTTAAGATCATTTTATTGAAAGTTTCATGATCCTATCTCATAGAATTTAAGAACAATGATGAATAAATCATTTTCGAGCAAAATTTAAATGGCCGGCTGAATATATTACCGCCGGAGAGACGGCCGCGGAATTTAAATCACCGCGCAAAAGGGTTAAAGTATGTATTCATATGTGAACAGAATTTTTCATCTTCCATATTTAATGGTATTATCCGACATCTGGATTAACTGTAACCAGATTAGTGAGCATTTACTGTACTTCCGCACTGTACAGCATTTAGTAATTGCGTTGAACCATTGTGTCATCTTGTTGCTGTATTATGACACTGGCTGTAAGCATCCTGTGTACCGTTATACACAGTGTTCCTCAGAACATTGCAAACAAGTTAGCAAGTGTATGCATGGCATCATTTTGGTACATTTCATTTTGTGTAATATGTCAAAAACACTTAAAATATTTATGTGAAAATTATGTTGAGCAAAGAAAAAATTGTTTCAAAATGTTTTTGGCAATAACAGATAATAGCTGGTTACACTTGAGATGCATTCAGAAGTGCACAAAAGTCTCCTTCTGTAGTTGACTGTAGCAAAAACGGAATGTATGACTACGTTTTTGTAAAGCTGGTATGTCTTAGAGAACCATCAGTTTCCCAGCTGTTATGTATGGGCTGACAGGAATATTAAGTTCTTCACTTAGCATATCACTGCTGTATTCATCATCTGCATCACATGGGAATATATCTAGTTTCTTCAATCCATACGGCTGTGGGTCGGCTGAACATAAAAGCATTCCACTAACATGTGACACACCATAATATGTAAATGACATTCATTCCTCAAGAAATTCAAATAATGACTTCCAGAAGAAGACAGTCAAAATATTCACGAATGCATTGGCACAAAATACAGTGGCTGATAACAACATGTGATTGGAGAAAGGCTGAAGAAGCTTTGTCAATCATATATCAACATTCGTCCGTGGAAGTACTGTCACCATGTCGATTATATATCGACATGGTGACAAACGGAAATGGTTAATGCTAGGGATTAAGTTAGGATATGTTAAGCTTAGCCCTCTGCACGCGCTATACTGACGAGGTTGGTTGGGGTACTTGAAGCTCCTACAGTCAAAGAAATGGGCCTGCAGTTAATGCATCGTTTCTGTCAGTAGATGGCATTAAGCGTGCATACCCATGGTTAGAGGAGGAGTAGCTTTCATGTGAAATGTATCTGTTGTTTGAAAGTTGTGTGAGGAAAGTACTGCCTTTTTATCTGTGTGGCTGCATATACTTTCCCCAAGCAGCCTTTGTATTTTTAGCAGGTAGTTGTATGGGTAGTCTTGGCTCTCCTGTATAGGTATTCCGTACTGAAATGTAATTATTTTATTGAATTGTTGATCAGTATTACAGTGAACTTGGTGATGAGCCAGTGATGAAGCTGGGCTAATCAGGATATCAGTTCTTCATAAAAGTAAATGAACATTACTGTGCCATTGGTCCTGTTGCTCTGTTACTTAGGTGATACTATTAGTTTCGTGAAACTGGCTGTCAATTCGATGCCAAAGAGTGCTGTGGCACAGGTAGGTTTGAAAGTTTGTGACTGAATTGTCCAGACTGAAGAGTAAGTAGTTGGTTCTTGTCACAGTTGGTTCCCTAATGAGAGTGACTGTGGATGTCCTCCTGTTGTGTTTCAGGTGACATGCAAGGAGTGAAGGTGGAAGTGATTACATCAACTGGTATCGCTGTTCACCCACCACGTCTGCACCATCCGGTGCCCAGTACAATTCCTGTGTTGGGATCATCACACGTGGAACGTGGGCCTGTGATTCGACAGCCTCTCCAGACACAACCACAGTCAGTGCCACCTGCAGCTGTGCCGTCATCTTCGGGATCTCATGGACCTCCAGGTATTTGTCATTATTTGAAATGTGTCTAAAGAGTAGCGCTTAAATGGCTGAGCCCTTGGTCCTACTCACATAGTAGTAATTGCTATGGGGATGTGTTATGTAAGACTAAAGTGTCATATATTACATATTCTCAGGTAATTGGTAAAGCAGTGATATATCAGGCAGTGTGGTTAAAGATAAGTTATGTTTACAGTGTATATATTTGTATTGAAAAGTGTGTAGAAGGTGGAGTCAGTTTAAATTTGCGCAAAAGCAAGAACTTATTGCAGTTCTCATGATGGCATGTATTAAGGTTGCTGGGCTTTGAGATGTGACGCAGTGTGGTTTGGTAGATAGGTAGCAGTTATGCATCATGCAAAACATCAAGATTGTTGAATTGTTTATACATTTGTTTCTGAATCAGTGCAACATGGAGGACCTCCGTTGCTGCTGCCAGATGCTGGACATGCGGCTGCACCAGTTCGCATTCAGGATCCCCAGAGAGGACCTCCTGTACGTCCACAGGGACATCCACATTTGCAACTTGTTCCTCAACCTCCAGGTGAGTTCTGTTCAGTCTTCAGTTTCATCCTTTAATTAATAGAGACTGACAAGACACATGGATGAGTCACAAACTGGATGATCATGCATGGGTAATTGGGAATATGCAGCATTGTGGTCTAGTGGGTTATGACGCTAGTCTGGTGTGTGATTACCAGTGTTTGGCAGGAATAGTGATATCCACCTACCACGCTACATGGTGTGATAAGATGACAGGATTTAAAATTTCCATGGTAACCTCAGATTCAATTTAACCCCTATCACTTGGATATTAGGACTTTAAACTTTTTCCTAGCACAGGGTTGACAGTGGCCATATTGTAGTTTTGTGGGTAACAGTTTATAATCATGAAATAGGGGATTTAAAATCTGTTTTCAACAGTGCTGGCAGCCATACTTCAACTTCGGGTTAACAGTATTACTACTGAAAAAATGGTACACTTAATGTCTTTGCAGTTTCGGCGAGTTATCTCACAGAGATATGTGTTTCATCTGTAGGGTTTATCACTTACTCAGATATCTCACATGAACATGAAAAGAATGCCAAATTTTAGTTGTGTTGTGTTGGTTCCTTGACGACCACCAAAAAGTGTTTAAATTATAAATGTAGAAGACTTCCAATGTTTTGTCAATTATGATGAAAAGGAACTTCTTTGAAAAATAGGTTAAGGAGTAATACATTAATTTCAATAAGTGTTGATATACAATACACATACTGTCTTGCATTTGATATCCCTACAGATATACATGGACACATCTAAACACTTCCATCCTAAATTTTATATATCGGGTTGTGCTTGGCTTTTGAAACGTTAGTGCAGTATATCTTACTTGGCCAGCAGAATATAGTAGTAACATTTACCTAGTTTTGGAGCAGTTGTTTTTGGCTTGTCTTGATTTCAGCATTTTTAGTCTATGGGTGTTTCGCTATACACCATTGTACTGTTCTCTTCCTGTACCCACCAACTTGCTTCTAACAGTACACACCATTTTTCCCACACACAAATGCTGCATGCTGCTTCTAAGCTCACATTCAACTGAACCAAATCGGTCCACTCGCTGACCCACTTTCCTCACACTGCATTGCTGAATGTTGCTACCAGAGTTTTGTGCTTGTTAAAACTTCGAGAATGTTCCAGGTCTAATGCTAATGGATGATTCAACACATTTCTTGGAAAGAGAATAATAAAGAAGAATGGGGATTGTTGAAGCTTGGAGAATGAGGTGTGAGTTGCTAGCACATGCCCCCCCCCCTCCCATTTGGTCCACACAGTGATATATACAGGCTGTGGTTTTAGGCTCAGTCACTGTGTTGCTTGTGAGGAGAAGTGTGGGGAGAAGCGATGGGCCAGTGGCAGGGATGGAAAGTGATGCACTGAACTAAGGCTATGTTGTCATTCATATGAACCCTACTTTCCTTATCGCTGTTAGTGGAATCGATTGCATCCACTACACATTGTGCTGAGAATGGCAGGGTCTGGTGGTATGGACTGTAGTTGCTTTATCATATCATATTAACAGTTTACATGGTTCGATACTAGATACGTTGTACTTAACCCAACTACTTGAGTTTTAATACCTCACATGAAGCATGCTAAAGAAGTAATGTGACATTCATTTTGTTTACATCTTTATTTCAAGTTCTAAAGTACCAGGCAAGTTGGCATGGGGTTAATGCTGCAAACTCTGGTCAGGAAAATCTCATTTGAATCTTAACCTAACACCAGCTCTTCCTGACTTTATGTTTGTTGTGGATTTCCTCAGGGTTCCTAGGCAAATGGTATGATAGTACATTGATAGGGCCACGGCTGTTCTCTTCCAGGTTTCTTACTAGGTCTTCATCCTACTGTTCAGTGCTATATAATTTTGATACTAACAGCATTATCAAATAAATCACCATCAAAAACACCAACAACAACGACAACGGATGTTAAAGTGAATTTTTCCTAATGGATCCATTTCATTATTGTCTCACCACCTAAACCATTTGCTGTGAAACCTCTAGTTGACTTGCATGTTGAACTTAGAAAAATTAATCCTAATTTGATTGATTTATGCTTGTTGAAGTTGAATGTTAAGTGAGGGAGAACTTTAAATTAAGGAACATTAGATGGGGTACGCCACTGTATTTACTTAAAATGATGTGCAGGATGCTAAAGTTGATTTCTACAGAAGAAATCTTCAGGGCTATATTTCTGAGCTACTTGTTTTTCCACGGAGTGCTTTAGCTAAAGTTATGAAATTGTAATTTCCAACTGCAAGCTTGTATGACACACTGCTTGGGTGTTTGGATTTCGTTCTCTTGGGCATATGGCATGTATGGAAGAGGAGTGTGTACAGAAATACCTGAAGGAAAGAGACCAATAGGAAGGCCCAGGCATAGGTGGTAGGATAATATAAAAATGGTAAAAAGGTTGAAAAAGGAGGTGGTAAAGTTATCCCTATGCTAAGTTTATTAGGCAGTATGCCATGAAGTTATGGAGGGGGAGTGTAAGTATAGCTCCACTCTTCTTGATCTTGTCACTAGATGGATGTGAGTGGTCAGCTTCACGCTCTGGCTGCTTTACTGGTGGGGAAAGATTCCTCAGTACCTACTGGCTAAGAGACTGGGTGGGCCCCAAAACCAATTTAGATGTTGTGGAGTATAGAAAAGTCTCTTGCACTGGCCAGGATTCAAACCCTAGCTGTTCATCTGTTAGCCTGTTTCTGTATTGATTGGGCTAACTCAGCTCCTGATATCAAAATGCGTCATAAGCAGATAGGACAGGAGGGTGGAATGCTTTCATCTGACTCAGATAGGGCCAAGTGGTCGGCTGTTGTGAACACAGTGATGAAGCTTTGGGTTCTATAAAATGCTGGAAATTTCTTGAGTGGCTAAGCAGCTGTTGGTTTCTCAAGAAGGGCTCAGCTCCATGCAGTTAGCTAATTCATGTTGATGTATGTATGCAGTGCTGATTGCTTTAGTAGTATTGTGGATATATGTGGGGGGGTACAGAATGAATACAGGACTGAAAGTTTGCAAATAATGTATGAGCATTAATGTTTTCTTAAGGCACCTCTGAAAGTGTTCTCTCGTGTGCATGCTGTTGTGTAGGTGTTTCTGGGCCTCCTGTAGCCATGCAAGGCAGTGGAGCCCCTCCTGGTGTTCCAGGAGTGCCTCTGTCTCTTGGGGTAATGCCTCCAGGCCATGATATGGCACCACTTCAGCCATCACAAGGACAACATCCGCCACCAGCAGCTCAGCAGCCCCAGCATATGCCTGGGATACATCCTGTACAGCCATCAGGGTGAGTGATTGATTGATTAAGGTGGAATTGATGGTTTTTTTTTTTTTTTGGTAGCAAGAGCTATCTGCTCTTGGAACAGTGGTTCGTCTATCATCAGTTGGTAATGTAGGCCATTATATCATCAATATCATAAAAATTTTATTTTCGGCCTATGTTTGATATTCATGAACCACAACTGGGAAATTGAAACACACTTCCAGAGGATTTTTCTTCCATGAAGTTGCCTACACAAGGTACAGTGTACCCTGGTTTATAGAGTAGATGGATTATGTATGTGAGGCAATATGCATTGCCACATGAATATTATCACAGTGTTTGTTGTCATCTGTCAACATTTGTATGGAACAAACAACAAAAGCACAACACACAAGATAGTGAAGGAGTGCTCCAACAAAGGAGAATGGGCGTGACTGACGTAGTGAGGGGCGACGTAGCGATGTGGTATCCTGAACAATTTTAATATTTTAACATTTGACAAGGTATATGATAGATACATATTTTAGTTATTTTAATGTGTGAACATGGCATGCAATGAACTGGTTTGACGTGGATAAGTAAGCACCTGAAGATGGCATTATTATGCCGAAACATGTAGTGCGAGGGAGAGAAGGAGTTAAATGAGTGTATGCACTGCAAGACGGATTAAATAAATCATGGACTTAAATCAGTGCAACAGGAGGCTAAAATATAACATTTGTATGGAAGATGGGGCTTTCAAGCTTGTGTTATATTCAGTGGGTTGATCTCTATAAACATTTTTATCTTAACCTTTAATTTGAATGTAATAGGAATCAAATTAAAACTTCTTCTTTTAGTATTGACCGCCTCTGTGGTCTAGTAGTTAAGAGTTCCTGACTACAAATCCAGAGGTCTGGGTTTGATTCCCGGCTCTGCCAGATTTTCTGAGAAGTAGTGGGTCTGGAACAGTGTCCACTCAGCCTCGTGAGGATAATTGGGGAACTATTTCAAGGAAATAGCGGCTCTGGTCTAGAAAACCGATATTAACCATTGTGGGGATATGTTGTGCTGACCACACAACACCTTCTATCTGCTAAAGTTGGCACTAACTTCGCCGACAAGCGGCGGTTGCTCAGTCGATATATTTCGCTTGCGGACTAAAACTACCTAGTTTTGTTTTTAGTTTAGTTCTTTTAGTGTTTTTCTTCAGTAGATGTACAGTGGTGTGGGATTTGAGGTTTTCGTAGCACTGGTTATGAAGGAGGCTATCTTCTGTGGTATTATGTTGTGTAGAGCAGCAGAGCCCGCTTGCTGCCTGCTTCACACTGGTTTTCTTTCTTCACTTATTCTTCAACCCTGAAGATGGAAGCAACATGTGCCTCTGAAATGTCATTTAGTGTTTAACAGACTACATGGCATTATATCCCAGTAGATAGAACTCAGTTTATTTGGTATCCAAGCATCCAGAATTCTCATGCCACCAGCAAACATTTCAGCATAAACTGCTGTTTCTATAAAATGACTCCAAAAAAAGTTACAATGTGGATATGTTCGCCCACTGCACAGTAGTTCTCCCAGCCATCACTGGCAGTGCTACCTGTCGTCCTCCCACATGCATTTCAGTATGGTACAGGGTAGTTGGATTTCTGATCTCATGACAGTGTGTCGGTCTGCTCTGTTGCATAGGAATACTCCCACACTAGGACTAAAATGAAAACATTTTGTTTTGACTCTGTGTTGGGTTTTAGTAAGAGTTTTTGTCATGCATCCAATAATCTTAAGAATCTGACAGGCTCCCAATTTCCATACATACCAGATAATGAGTAGAGTGCTGTAATAGTGTGCTTCAACTGTAATATAACTTCATCTTCAGTTATAGTTTATTTTCTCCCCTCAATAATATTAGTCTGAGGTAAAGGTAAAGTTGTCCCTGTGCTTAACTAATTAAGCGAACGCCATGAAGGCGTATGGGGGAGAGGATGTATAGATATACAATTTCTTGACCTCGGCACTAACTGGAGGTGAGTGGTGACCTTGACGCCCCTGCCGTTTTGCCCCTGGGGAAAGAGCCCCCAATAGCCGTTGGATAGGAGGTTGGGTGGACCCCAGTGCCAGTCTGGACAATGTGGAGAAGAGAAAATTCTTGACCTTACTGGCACTCGAACTCCAACCCTTTGGGTGTCCAGCCCATAGCCAGTCACTGTACCGACTGAGCTATCCCAGCTCCTATGTCTGAAGACTGCATAAAACCTGCAGTGCAGTTCCTGTTATAGAGTCAGCATCCTTTTAATCAGTTAAAAGTATTTTGATGAAATGAATGTTTTGCCATTAGACACCCCAAATTTGTTCTTTTTGATTTCCTGCAATTCATAATACCAGTGTGGCAGATCCAAAGATATGCAAGGTGAGAGCAACACTAGCACAACTGTCAGAATGTGGTATAATGATGAAAACAACCATTTGAAGCAGGTAATAAATTGTAGCAGTGACACTAACTGATAATGACAAGCCAGTGTAACTGCAGTATTGAATTAGAGAGGTATGTACGGGTTCACATTACTGAGGTGCAGATGGTGTACGTGCATGGGCGCGGGCAGAGTCAGATTTGGCTTGCACTGCAGTCTTGCATTTGTGATCTCTGTTTAGAGGTACCTACATATAGCACATGCCTTGCCACTGAGAAGCTCTTCATTTTCCCGTAGAATGTTTTGTGTGTTTCATATGATTCCCAGAATGAGCAGTGACTATTTCCCTAAACAGCATTAATCATTTGTTTTTGTAATGAAGATAGAGGGTAGAAGAAAGCAGTCTTCTGGGATTTGGCACCGTGTATATGTGGTGTTAACCGACGTTTCGGAGGAACGTATCGCCCCCATCTTCAGGGTAGAAGAAAAAGTATAAGAAATCTGCAAGCGACAACACCGTGAGAAACGGTAAAGCACCACATATACACGGTGCCAAATCCCAGAAGACTGCTTTCTTCATAGTCACCGCCGTGAAAGCCTCAAATCTTACAAGATAGAGGGTATTTTCTATGAGGTAGGAGCTGATTTCTCATATATTTCACTGAGCTTCAGCTTTCAAATGGTTAATGAATATTCAGAACCTGTTAAGGAGCAGAGGTCATGTATACCGATAGTCCTTGAAAACAGTGTTTCTTGTGTCTGCCAAGTTAATTTATATTTCTGCTTTGTTCAGTCCACGGCGATCAGTGGAGGAGCGTCCTGGCACGCCAACAATTGATGAACACAACCAGGATGTGCAGTCGGCTCCTCTGCCAGATACGTCTGTGCCACCACCCAACTTCCCCCCTGGCGAAGAGCCGCCGTTCACCGCTACAGCCGGACCTGCAGCCATCCCACAACCATCACAGCCAGCAGCACAACCTATCGAGACGCTCGGGGCACGATTCCAACACAGAATGCCAGTCCCGCACTCATACAGGGGTGAACATCCCTATGGACCAGTCAGGTATGCCTGCAGAGTACATAGAATTTTATGGTGGTGTTTTCAGGGGCTTGTGAAATGATGGGACAAGTGCCTCAATGTACATGAGATTATGTTGAGAAATCAAAGCATTTTTCAAATCAGTACTCTTATTTGTTTAAGTTCTATATCCATTTGTAACTGGTGTACAAGCTGGTGTCTTGCTTGGCTTATTTTGCCCTGAAGATGGAAGCGATATGTTCATCCTACACATTTGTTGACTGTCGACAGACTACTCAGCATTTTATCCCAGAAGACTTTACCCCTCATAACCACCACTGTGAAAACCTTGTATCCTATGTAGTGCCACTTGATGCATTCACCTGTTCTTTTGTCTTCTCTTGGGCCACTGAACTGAGAACTAACTTAAGTACTCTGGCTTGCTAACTCACCAGTGGACTGCACTGGCTGCCTGAACACTGACGGACTCACAACTCATAGTGTTCAGGAACTTCATGTCTGCTCTATACTGCACTGAAGTGCGCTGAGCTGAACTCGGCTTACATGAGAGCTTTACAGAGTTATGGTTACCTTTTGGGAAATTTCTGTATAGTTTTTGGATGGCCATTACCATCAGTATCCACTCACCAGTTTCCAGAACAGTGCCAAATAGAGGAAGAGCCTAGATATCTCAGTCAAATGAGAAGCACATGCCGGTCAGGTGACATGGCTTTACTGCTTCCAGCTCCCATGACAGTAACAGTACATTTTTTATTTGTTTCATTCTGGTCTGTCACACTAATAATATTATAAAAAGATAAAACAGTTCCATCCAGTATGACTGGTGAAGATTTTTCTTATTTCAATTCTTCATGCCCTTACATGTTTCGGTCCTTAGAGCCCATCATCAGAGGGACATCGATACAGTTTGGAAACCACTATTACAATAGGTGTTCTGAGTGTTAAAATATATATACATACAATGCTGACAATACACAAATGGATACAAAATCCAAAGTTTTCACAACTACAGCTGCTGTCTTGATATATTATTATTATTATTTTTTAATTTTGTTAGTTAAGTTAGAATTTATAAACCAAATAGGTTCATGTCCTCTCTCTTATCACCTCTCCTGACAAGGGCCGAAGTTGTGCCGCCTGTCTTTCTTGAGAAGAAGGTTTTGCAAATCTATTATGGGTATTGTAATATTTCAGCAACCCTATTGTTGTTTTTTTAAGGAGTTTTGTTTTGTCCTACCTTTGATGTCCTATGGTTGTTCGTGGCGTGCTGTGTTGTTCTTATTGTTATAGGTTGTGTTGTGCTGCGTATTTATATTTCTTGTGGGTGTGTACTGATGTTGTATTATGAGGTCGAAGATGTTATATTGGTTATTACTTTCCTTTGTGTGTTTTTGTTCTCCTATCAATTTGTTGAGTTTATTAAAGCGATATATATATATATCGTAACGTGTTTCGTTACCGAAGACGCCGTAGATCGTTAACTGGTTTATTGAACAATCTACAAATAACGGCTATAATTAATGATCACAATATTACGGGTTTCCACACTTTACAAACCCTACAACAAAATCTCTTAACACTGTCTTCACGTACTAATAACGTGGGAGCTATACAAGTCTCCCTGATATACACACTTCGAGTACAACTGTACTACAGCAATCACTATGTCTGGAAAGCACACAATAAGTCTTCCGCTCGCTGACTTCTTAGTTGTCGCACACTCGCAGGCTGCTATGTTTCAACTCATCATCACACTGCTGTGGGTCCGCTTATATAGCCTTGCGCTGTTGCTAGTGTGACGTGGCGTATAGCATAGGACGCTGTTGCTAGCGTGACATCACCGCTGTTGATTAGCATTGCGTAGTTGCCAGGTTACGGGGCTCGGCTATCTTCGGCTCCGCTCGGCTCTCTTCGGCTCCGCTCGTGACGTCACCGCGCGTTGCGCATTGCGGGGTTATTACTCGCCTATTACCGCGAGCGTTACGTTACCGCTGAGGGGTGGGAGGGGAGCGCTGACTCACCCACCGCGTCACTGCTGGTGTGGGGGGGGGGCTCAGATTTCGCAACATGTCACAATATATATATATATGGAAGTTTTCTTTTATATTCATGATGCTTCCTTTTTTGGCTTTCTCAATCACTTCCATGATTACTGTCATCGGTCCATACTGGTGGCATTTGTTTAGTATATGTTGGGCAAATGCCGATTCGTCTTTGTTTAGTCTTATGTTTCTTATGTGTTCTTTGTACCTTGTTATATTTCTACCAGTTTGGCTGAAGTATACTTTATGGGAGCTTTGGCAGAAACATGTAAGGGCATGAAGAATTGAAATAAGAAAAATCTTCACCAGTGACACTGGATGGAACTGTTTTATCTTTTTATAAACAGTACATTTCTTTCTCAGATTGAGTGAAACAGCCAGTCAGGTGGGCTGTACATTTTGAACCCTTTATATCTCCTTGTGATATTATGAGATGAAGTCTGTGTCATTCAGTGGAGAATGGTTGATGCTGCTTTGGTAGATTGTTAAGTCATGGTTTGACTGTACCTTGTCCGTTTGCTTTCTGATTGGCTGCAACACCGTTACCGTTGTTTCTACTGTTGGAGAGCTTATGGCAGGAGCTTCTAATCTGCTTGTTGACAACTGGTGTTAATCTTGTATGAAGCAAAAGAAACCCAAAGAATTACATTGACCAACATGTATTAACTGTTACTACATGTAATTCACAGGTCTGCATTATGTGTTGTCCTAATATTCTGGTATCAGGAAGAGTGAAGTATTCTCTCAGTTTGCAGAATTGTGTGGACTTAGCTTGTAATCAGTTTGGCTAATGAAATGGAGTTCAGGTTTTGTTGATAACGGAAGAAAAGGTTCTGTAAACATAACTGTTTTCAAGAGATTTGAGGCTTTTATGGTTGTGACTGTGTCGATTATTGTCTCCTGAGATGCGGCACCATTTAATTTGGTAGAATGTTACAAGTATACCTTGAAATTTAGTAGTGTTACATTCCAGAAGCCAGTGTGTGGTAAATAATCCATATGTAAATTAATGGACCAGAGACACGTCTAATCTAAAAGTTTGTAATGCAGTCAAAACATTTGTGTGTTTTAGGAACTTTGCCCCACGCGGTTCTCACTTTGAACATGGTCACCTTTCCTACCATCATGACACAGGTGAGTTGTTACAGACTTTGGTTCAAGCTGCTGATGGCTCAGGCCCACTTCCAGCTCCTTTTTTTCTTTCTCTTTGCTAGCCAGTTGAGGGCAGCATGTTCCTATGGAATGATGCTTTCTACCAGACTGTGCAGCATCACATATTACAGAATTACTAGGCTTCTGAACCTTTCTACAAATAAAGAATGAAAACTGGGCCTTCAAAATTCATAATAAGTTTTGGGCAGTTATAGCAAAGATTACATTTGGTTAACCCTTTCACTGCCAATTCCCTCAATAGAACTACCTTCAAGAAACAAGGCATGTGTATGTATGTGTGTAGAAATGGCTGTCGTCAAATAGCCACAGAAGTATTTAATTGAAAGACTGTTCTTACCTCTAAATATTGGTGTGTCAAATATAATACCATCTGTTGATAGAAGTACTGTACTAATTGATTAACAGGCTGATCTGTGGCTGTGTAGGGTTTAACACAAGTACCCCAAGTTAATCTAATCAGTATGTGTGATGTAGTGGATTTTGACTAAATGTCTGAAAACATGGTTCTTATATTGTTATCCTACAGATTGGAATGAAGTAGTTTATAATATAAGTCAGGATGCTTTGGGAAGAACTGAACAAGATTGCATGTTTTCCCCCCACCACTTTAAGAACATGCTGGGTTATTAGTCTTGTCTAAAACATCTCTGAGGGTACATTATGCCTTGAGCAGGCACCCTTATGGAAGAAAGCTCCCCGTATTTTCAATGAGATCTCTGGTATGGCAGTTTTGATTTCATTGTGCATTGTCTAGTAATTTTTAGCCTACTTCCCTAATTTTGAAAAAAAAAAATAAAAGGAAGCTTATGAGATCACCTTGCTGTTTGTGCATCCCCCCTCCTAATACTGGCTAGTTGTTGTGCCCCCCCCACCCGGTTTCCCCCCCTACATGGTCCATTTTGTAATCATCATCATCATCATCATCATCATCACTGGCATGACAGCCCTCTGTGAGCCCTGGCCTTCCTCAGGACTGCTCGCCATTCTTCTCTATTCGATGCTACATTCCTCCAGTTCTTTACACCCAAAATTCTTATGTCCTGCCACACACATTCTTCCCATTGTAACCTTGGTCTTCCCACTCTCCATTTTGTATCAAAGGAAAATAGGTAATGTCTTCTTCCCAGAACTTCTTGTAGTGCCATGGCATCATTTGTTGGAAATGCAATGTTGTAAAGTTGGGCCATGAATGCTTCGTTCCATGTCCAATCCAGTTCATTGCATAAGAATCATTCTACCATTTGACACTACACAGTCTTGAGCTGCTGATGGCGTCACTGAATAGGACTGGTCAAGACCCGACACTCAGTATCTCACTTAGTGCATTTCCATTGCTCATGAGTGTGTTGGCCATGACACCCAGCAGTGCTGGGCATGGTGTTAGACAGTAGAGCATGACATCTGGATACTTCATGACACTGTAGATACTGTATATTGTCATTGTTTCCACCATGAGGACTGGCTCCATGAAGATGACCTGGATTGCTTCTGTTCAGTGATATCCTCATCAAATATAAATAAATAATTAAAATGTGTTCCCTCAAATGCTTCATTTAATATGGTTACACCAGCTGGAATTTAAATAAAGAGTTAACAGTTTAGTTGTTTGTTTCAATTTATAATGGCCACTAGTGTAACCTTTGTTGTATGTATCAGATATAACCTTCAAATTTTGCACCATTATTGTGTCTGTTGTTAATGTGTGAAATAATGTCTCATAAAATTTTTAGATATGCTTGTATCACTGTACGGAGTTTTTAATGTCCGACTTAAGTGATTCTGTTCTTATCACCATGGGCGCCATAAGTTGAATATAGATTTTGTGTGGCAGGTTTTATGTTCTGCAAGAAAATTGCCTTCAAAATGCACCCAACCATGTACACTTCATTGTCCGATGGTTCTACATTTTAGGTCTTCATAAAATTGTTTAACAAGCAATTGTTGCTCTCTGTCTAATGTGTGATAGGTGGCTATGCAGTAGCTCACTGCTAAGGCTTGGATTCAGTTGTTAGTGACTCATTGGAGACTCACAGTGGCTGAAGTGGCACTGTAGCAGGGGTTTTTTTTTCTGAATTTCTGTGGTTTTCCCTTGCCAGTTATCATTCTACCATTTGTCCATACTCATCTATCACCATTTCATGAAGTGTGCAAAAGCCCTGACCAGGCAGTGCATCATCACATCCTTTGACTTATGTTAGGTGCTCGTCTCTGACCAGGCACTTTGCTAATTTTTAATGACATTCTGTTTGCCTAATATTTAAAAGTTCAGAGATATTTTTGGAAATTTAAATTTATGTTTTTATTTGAAGCTTCTTTTCCAGATTTTGTTTTGTCCACAGATGCAAATAGCTGGAGATACTGATGTGGCTCAACATTCCGTATTCCGTATTGAGGGGGTGGGTTCCCCGTGCACTTAGACCGGTTAGTGGTCCATTGTGCGTCCCCCTGTAATTTCTACTGTCTCCATACCCTACTGGTACTGGTGCTTACTATCAGCCTCTTTCTGCCAGCGAGGTTCCAACCTCCTCTGGCAGTGGTATCTAATAGTCCCTTTCTGTCAGAGAGGTCCCCCCTCCTCTGGTAGTGGTACCTAATACTTCCCCCATCTACCAGAGGAATTGGAAACTACTTGGGCGGGAAATGTTGCCTAATTTTGCTCAGGGGTGTCCTAGAGACATGAGGTTCTTTTACGTGCCGTAAATCTACGACACGGGACCCATGGCTTAAAGTCCCTCCCGGAGGACTTGTTCCCTGAATTTTTCCACCCTTAAAAATTCCACGACCTCCGCCGGTTTTGAACCCGCATACCTTGAGTCATGAGGTGGGAACATTACAATGTGGCTCTGCATACTCATGCTTATGTTGCTTTCGACTGTGTTCCAGGGCCACCACTGGGCCCCAGACCTACACACTATGCAGATCTGGACAGAGATGGACACCTGGTACGAGGATCATTCCGGGGGTATCACAGGGGTCGGGGAAGGATAATGCATGGTAAGTGAACATCAGAATGAGTGAAGTGTCCAGAAACCTGGTACACATGTAACCAGTTTCCAGTTTTTCTTCAGGTGTTTTTTTTTTTTTTTTATATACAAATATTCCATTAAGATCATGTCAAAACTGCTACACTGTTTCACTGTTCTAACTAATTTTAAAAACCATGCGCTGTGGTCTCCTTTTTAATTGAAATAAAAATTAATTTTATCTCATTTTCCATTAAGATTGTGTCAAAATTGTGTCGAAACTGCTGCACTGTTTCACTGTTCTAATTCATTTTAAAAACCACGCACTGTGGTCTTCTTTTTAATTAAAATGAGATAAAATTAATTTTTATTTTAATAAAAAGAAGACCACAGTGCGTGGTTTTTAAAATGAATTAGAACAGTGAAGTAGTGTAGCAGTTTCGACACAATTTTGACACAATCTTAATGGAATATCTGTAAAAAAAACACCTGAAGATGGTCATTTGAGGCCGAAACATGTTGTGTTAGCGTATTGAAGTGAAAAATAAAAGGTGTTGCAATTTGGACGGATTATAGACAAATGGACGCTAATGTAGTCACTGTGTTTACTGAGCTGCCCTGACTGCATCAAAGGGCATAACATATTTCTAGAGTTGTGGTGACATGTGATCATGTGGGTGTCCTGTTCTGTTACACGACGAAGTGTGATTGTGTCTTACTGCTGCCGTATTGACACTTCCTATTATTGTTTTAGGTGGGTATCGTGGGACTCACATTCATCATCAGCCTCTACCACCGGGACTTAGCCGAGGAAGTATCCATAATGGGAACCAGGCAGGGTGAGTTTCTACAAGAATTTTATATGACATGTAAATGTGAGGCTTGCAATTTAGGAATTGTTTTGGGTAAAAGATTAGCCAAGGGTACTGAGGCAGGCAACCCAGTGATGTACCAGTCAGTGGAGGCCCTCTTCAAAGAACTTTCTGGCTTGCTGGTAGAATAGTTGTAACTTTAATGTCTTTTTGCAACCCAAATCCATGGCTCTTTAGTGCATTCATAAGGGTTCTGAATACTAGGAAATCACACAGTGACAGATTGCCATTGCCATTGCATGGAGTGTAGGGTGTCATGGTCAGCATGGGCCATGTGGAGATGGATGTTGTCATGCAACATAGTGACACCCTGCTTCAAGCTGACCCTGAATCTAGATAAAATAAAGGTAATAAAATTTATAACAGAAGATTCAGTATGGTATCCATTAAGTATTGGACATAGTGATAAATATACAGAGTAGGCAGTAAACACAAAATTCCTTGGCTTACAAATTGATAATCATTTAAACTGAAGAAACCATATCAGTCATTTGGTTTCAAAGAATAATGAAGCATATTACGCGGTTAGATCGATGTTGCATATAAGCAGAACTGACACACTCAGATCAGTGTATGTTGCTTTCACTTTTTAACCCTTCACCACTGCAGGACATCTAATTTCCTGCTCACTCCTTGGGCCAGAGGATATTAAACATAAAGCAGAGAATGCAACGTTTCACTTAAAGTGTAATAAATCAGGAAAAACTGGAGTTCTGTTTTTCAGATTTTCACACTACATTCAGAAATGTATGTAGAATTGTAGTATTGATCGAAACTACTTTAAAATTATGTTTGGCACAGTAAGCTTATAAGAATTATGAACAAGAGTATTGTATTCAGCTGGGTGTTGTAGTCTCAAAAACATTTGCTGCAGAGTCCCATGCCATATGTGTCACACCAGTACACAGTGTCCTTCCCACGCTTCTGACACACAACATACCATTTCTGCAGTCTTGATTTCTTTGCAGGTGGAGCAATCTTGCTTATAAGATGTCATTCTGTTAGGCAGAGGACTGTGTTGTCTGACATACGAAGGGGGACCCAAAAATAACTGGAAACGACCTGTTGCGCGCTTATGCTTTGTAGTTACAAGTTGTGCTGCTAGGTGGTGTTAGCTGGGGCCCCCCCGCGACTGTTAGTGAGCTGGCGTCAGTCTGAGTTAAGTGGTTTGTCTGTGGTGCTCTGTTGTGTGCGTTCCTGTTTCAACCCTTTGGTGATTAGTGAGATGGCCGACCAGAAGGAACAAAGAGTGTGCGTGAAATTTTGCTTTCTGTTAGGGAAAACTGCACTTCACTCTTCAAGTCGCGGCAAACATTCACGCGGTTTTCTCTTTGGTCATCTCCGAGCAAGCGAGGAACAAATTTTGCAGACACCCGTCTCATGTGCAAACCTTCGGTTAAAATTCGCTGGACCGTGCTCCATGAGATGTTCGTTTCCTCAGAAAGTTGGTCAATGGTCTTTCGATGATCTTCATCAATTTCACGCACACTCTTTGTTCCTTCTGGTCGGCCATCTCACTAATCGCCAAAGGGTTGAAACAGGAACGCACACAACAGAGCACCACAGACAAACCACTTAACTCAGACTGACGCCAGCTCACTAACAGTCGCGGGAGACCCCCAGCTAACACCACCTAGCAGTACAACTCGTAACTACAAAGCATGCGTGCGCAACAGGTCGTTTCCGGTTATTTTTGGGTCCCCCCTCGTATGTTGACTTGGCACTCTGTATTTTACAACATTCTCATATTTAGCAAAAAGTCCCTCAATTAACTGAATTCTGAATGACAGTTGATCTATTCTTTTGCCTGTGTTACTCCTGTATTTTATCATCGCATTCAGAATTGAGGTGTTCAAGAGCATGTGAAATAGCTTCATGTACCATTTATTCATTTGCTTCCTCTCAGTCAAGTAAGAATGAAGCAGCTGGTCCTTCAAATAGACCCATATCATTGATTTGTTGTAAGCTAACACCAAAATGGGTTTGACCACTTCCTTGCCTCTAATTAGAACGGTCCTGATGTCATGACTGTGATAGGTTGAGATGATAGTCATGATTTTTTTGTCGCTCCATTTTATGACAGAAGCAGATCCAGAATGGTGTACTATGATTTTACCTTTTTTTTAGTAGTTTTTCACTTTTCTTGACACATTCTTATAGTTCATGTTAAAAGTCCCAACACTGTCTTTTGTGTGATTTTCAGTATCTTGGCTAAAGATGGTGAATTATAGAAATTATCCATCCACACAGTTCTGCCTTGTTTCAGCATAGGTTCTACCAGTTTCAGAACAATTACTGTTTTACTGGTGTCAGCTCTGATCAAGGAGGAGTCAAGTTTTATATCCTTGCCTATATATACAGAGAAGGCCCATAAATCTGTGGTGGAGTCATACAGCTTGTTAAGTTTTAATTCCAAATTTGGATTCTTTGAGAGGGAGGTACTGTTTGAAAGACAGATGGCCTATCCAAAGCGCCAGTGTTTTGTCAATTAAAATGTCCTGGTTTGGGATATATAGTTCTTGAAAATTGTTGATTCAGATGTAAAATTACTGGAAAAATTTGTAAAGTTACTGATGGTTTCATTGTCAGCAAAATGCAAAAATTTACATATTAGGTCCAATCTCTCTCATGTTATAATGTCTCTAAATCCTGGTGTGGAAATTACTCTGTTTGTAAAATATGATGTGAGAGTAGGTTTCTCAATAATGCCTATAAAAATAAACCCAGTACAATATAAATTTCACCCTCTCACAAGTTTCGATGCCCTAGCAGGCAACCTGAATGATGGTTCAGACCTGCGTATTAACTGCTCTACATATCTGATTGTTTCTTTAACAGTGGTGTCATTTAGTTCTTTGCTGAAAAACAATTAAAAAAATGTCCACAATTTCCATAATATGTTTTGCAGCACCTTGAGGTCTAACACTGCCCCGTGAAATTTTCCCTTTGTCCCTTACAGTGTTCCATATTCTCCCAAATTAAATCTTGAGTAGCAGTGTCATCATCTTCTTCACTACTGTCACCACAGTATCAAGCAAGGCACAATCTTCCAAGTCATTTTCGGTGTCAAAATCTAAAGCTGACAAACTTTGTTCAGATTCACTTTGAAGTAAATATTGTAATTCATAATCACGCAATACAGCTGAACGCTTCTTGCTTGTGCTAGCCATTGCTGCTACCGGCAAACTGCAGGGTGCTATTAATGGAACAAAAGGGAATGTACAAAGAGGCATTAAAACTGTTTATCATGTCGTACATATCAGTCATAACACACTTCTTTTAAGGTCAACATCATGTATCCTATTAGTCGCAGATTCTACGTGTGGTTTCTCGTGATTACAAATTCCAATCTGGAAGCAGCACTTGTCAGATTCTGCTTGAAGAAAATCTACTTCTGATTCGATCAACACATGGACAGCACACACTATCGGTCTAACATATTTAGTTCATAAGAATCCCGCAAGGTGGAGAGAGGTTTGTACAGTAATAGAGTGCACTACCTGGTTAGGTACAACACTTTTCAAAGACTTCAAATGTAATACAAATACCACGGGAAGTTCATAGTGGGACAGTGGATCTATTAAATGATATCCTTCAATTTCCTCTTTATAATTTCATGCCAAAAGAAGTACTTTACATGAAAAACAACAGTTCAAAATAAGAGCTGAAGCTTACCGCTGCACTACGCGTGCCAGGTACAGATTATGACGACATGTGACAAACTGCTGGTGTGCCACGTATGGTCTATGGTGTTGAAGGGTTAATGAAGTATAGAATAATTTTGTGGGGTAATTCATCTGATGGCAAAAAGGTGTTTACACTGTAAAATAAAATAGACTCATGATGGACGTCAGATCCCATTAATTATTGTAGAGGTCTATTTATGAGACTAGAGATCTTAAATCTTTCGTGTAAATACATATTTCTATTAACAGACTTCATTACAAATAATGAAGAACATTTTCAGACCAATGCAGATGTATAATGTTAACACAAGACACAAGCACTATCCCCATAAATCAGCTGCTAACCTCTTGTGCATTCAGAAAAGTGCATATTATGGTGGTATCAGATTTTTCAGTAATCTGCCATCTGATCTCAAAAGTCAAAGAAGCACTATTTAAAATAGCACTGAAATGGTACTTAAACCCTCATTCCCTTGGACAGTTGCATGATAGAATCATTCCTTTATTTATGTTATTGTTATGAATTAAGATTGAAGGAAATTGTCTCTGTGCAAATAAACACAGTTGCATAATCAATAACATCAAATTCATTTCTAAGGTACTTAAGAAGATATGAAATAGACACTAACAGAACCTTAGTCAAGAATCAGTGAAGGTATGGTGTCACAAAGAATGTGTCTTTTGTGCATGCACTGTATGTGACGTTAGGTACAAACATTATGGTTGTGCAGTAATCACTTCCTGAAATGAGAAATTAAGAATATCGATTGTTATTTGACAAAATTCACACAGCAGTGATATATAAGTTGTGGAAGGTCAGATATTTTTATATTAAATGTGATTGATTATATACTAAGTGTGTAAAGGTAATATGTTTATATTGTGCTTTGGCTATGACCAAGAATATTCACCAAATATGGGATTATGTTATGTGCAAGAACAATAAAATAATTGTTTTACTGACAATGGTGATGCTTATCTCTGTACTCCAAAAGATACTTATTTTTTCCTTTTTTTATTTACATGTCAAAGTAAATGAGGATATTACTAATCAATGAATTTGTCTGTCTCTGTTTGCAGAACAATAGATGATCCCTTGGAGGCATTTGAGCGTATGCTGAGGGAAAAGGATGAACGTGATCATAAGTTGAGGCGTAGCAGGCGTTCTCGTTCACCCTTTTCATACTCTCCGCGGTCTCGGTCACGTAGCTCAAGTTCACGTTCTTACACGCGTTCCCGGTCAAGGTCAAGAACAAGGTCGAGAACTCGGTCTAGAACGAGGACCCCAAGGTCTCGCACTCCAAGGTCCAGGACACCACGGAAGCGATCCCGAACCCGAACAAGAACAAGATCACGTTCCAGGTCCTTCACTATTAGCAGGTGTGTAAAGTTATCACACTGCAGATCTCTGTGTTTCGCAGCAAATGAAGTAATGAGTAGTGTTGTAATAATGTGAACATGCCNTGGGGGCGATACGTTCCTCCGAAACGTCGGTTAACACCACATATACACGGTGCCAAATCCCAGAAGACTGCTTTCTTCATAGTCACCGCCGTGAAAGCCTCAAATCTTACATGCCATGCTTTTATCATGGTAACTCGTTTTGGTATTCTCCTGCCTTTTTGTTGAAGGCAGATTCTTGCCCTTGAAATTAATGCACTTTTCTTATGAAGTCTACTTTTCCTTATTGATGGAAAACTTTAAATGTTTGAGTTTGTGATCATTAATATTCAGTTAACATTAGGAGAAAATGGTACCAGTTTGTGTTATGTAAATAGTTGGTATGTGCAAGAATAGTTCGGAAGATTTTTGAAGACGTTCAAGAACTTACATGAGAACAAGAATTTTCTCTAATATATCAGGTTTTACACCACAGTCACAATTTGCAACATGGCCACTTTTCACTAGACACTAAAGTGTACATCTTACCCTTTTTGATATTAGATCCTTTATCAGTAAAGAATTTTCATTAATTGTGCTTAAGAAAATTCTAGGAGCACCATGGATATAAAGATGGAGTGAGAGAGGGAGAGATATGTTACATACATGGTTCCCATTCCATTTTGGGGCTCCTTGATGTGGAAACTCTGTCTTGAAAACTAGTGACCAGACATTACTGTTCCCAAGAACAGCATATTACAAGAATATAACACTATAGTACAGGTTGTCTACAATGAAACGCCTTGATTTTATCATATTCTCAGGAAGTAAGGAAAGTCGAAGTTCTAACACTTTACTTCCCCCCCCCCTCGCACTACAGCCCCAGTGGGCCTAGGCCTACCTCCATGAACTCTGTTCACGGCCTAACACTTTAGTGGCATAAATTCTGTTCTTCACAAAGCCCCACAAAAAGAAATCAACTGCTTGATGTCAGGCGAACTTGGATGCCAATCTGTTAGGCCATCTCATCCGATCCAGCTGTCTGGAAATGTTGCATTCAAAGCTCACTACACATCCAGTGACCAGTGGGGTGGAGCCCCATCTTGTTGAAAAAAAGACATTTGGCTGTAGGTGTTCCAGTTGAGGAAGGGTGTAGAACTGCAGTGTGTCCAGGTGTAAGCTACCTGTGACAGTCTTCTCCACAAAGAAGAATGGTCTGATAATCATGTTTGACATGATGCCACAAGAGATGTTCACTTTCGGGCCGTCTCGCCCATGTTCCATGATGCTGTGCAGTTGCTTTGATCCAAATATCTGAACATTATGCGTGTTTACAGGACCAGAGACATGAAAAGTGGCCTCGTTGGAAACATGATGATTGTCAGAAAGTTAGGGGTCTCTGCTGATACATCAGTCATGTCACGGGCAAAATTGTGTTGCCATGGGTTGGTCTCTGGTTTGAGTTCCTGCAGAATCTGCACCTTGTATGCATAGAGAGACAACTGCTTTTGGAGAACCTTATGCACAATTGCTTGTGGTCTCTGCAACTTTCTGATAAACATGATTAAACTCCCTTTGCATCCTCACAGTGGACTTAAACTCAGAAAGCCACACAGCAACTCACACCTTCTTCTGAGCTGACGCCACCTTTGTGTGAAATGACAACACCCCATTGGTGACCCGTGAAGTAGCCTAAAAATTTAGGCAGGAATTTGAACTCCTGTAGTACACAGGAGACCCTTAACACACACACACACACAAAAAAGCATTTGCTTATTTTTAAAACATCTTCAAAATCAGGGTGTTTTCATTGTAGACAGCCTGTACTTAGTTGCAATGTCTCACATTGTTCATAAATAAAGTGAAAGCATTATAAAATTTCAGCAAATACAAAATAAGAAAAAGTTAATGTGTTCCATCAGGATCCCAAGATTGAGGGATCAATGTTGACTTGTATCATATTTCTTTTTCTGAAATGAATGTATAACGGGTTGGCCCTCCTGGCCCCTGCACCACGACCACAGTGATCTGTTGTGCCTAATTTTTCTGAAATGGAATATATTACGATTTCAGTGCTCATCGTTACATTTAGATATGTCTGAAATGCCCTATCCATCTGCACATGGCATTCCACCCACTGTTGACATTGCTTGTTTTAGGTCTCGGTCTCGTTCGTTTTCACGATCACCTACACCCCGACCACATTCCCCACGTAGTGGTAGAGATTATTCTCCAAGACGCAGGGTATCTCCACGTTACCGTACTCCACCCAGATCTCCTCCAAGGTAAGGAGTTCTTATGGTTCCATCAATCTTATTAAAAGGAGAAATTTATTTTATTTAAATGTTTAATCAGGAGCCAGGATAGCACAGTCAGTATAGTGACTTTCTACAGGCTGGAGGACTGAGGGGTCAGAGTTGAGGCCCAGTAGAATCAGAAATTTTCTCTACATTGTCCAGACCAGCTTTGGGCCCCACACATCCTCATATCCAGTGGGTACCAGGGACTCTTTCCCAGAGGATAAAACAGCTGGGGCATGAAGTTGATAACTCCCTCCAACTAGTGCCGAGGCCAAGAAAACTTGGATCTAAACGTTCACTCTCCCATCTTCATGTTATAGTGCTTAATTGGTTGAGCAGAGGGACAGCTTTACTTTACTTTTTAAAAGTGAAATTCTTGCAATAAGTTTTGAGTCACTAAGTAAATAAAGTGAATAGTTCCATTTCATATGTACTGCAACTTTGAAATATTTTGGGAATTTGTTGTTGAGTTTTGAGATTTTCAATTCTTTATCCCCTACAACATGCCAAAAAGGATGCATGTAGAACTGCAGGTGTTCATGTCCAGACATCCACGTGTCAACTGCAGAACTGCTGAGTGGATGGCTATGAATTTGGATAAGAACATGTAACATCGGAGGTCACCCCAAATTTTTTAATTTAATTTTTTGTTTCCTGCAACTGGTAATTACAGTTTGGCAGATGCGCAGACTTATGAGGTGGAAATGACACTTGAAGTCCAGTAACAGTGGTATCCATGGCAATTAACCATAGCAGCAGTGGGAGCTGTTACAATGATGATAACCACAGTAACAAATTTTAGAGCCACAAGAAATATAGACACATTTGAATGCTGTAAAAGTTTGTGTTTGGTGTGATTTGTATGCAGGGCAGTTGTGGTCCTAGTGTTGTATGCAGTCAGTCAGTTCTGAGAGATGTTTCGGTCAGATACTGCGCATGCGCGTACCAGCGCACATATCTATTACCTTGCCATGTGAATGCTTAATTTATGAATATCTATACATACAAATCACATAAGAACATGTCATTTTTATTGTAATTTATGTAAATTTTTGTGCTTATTTTGTCTGTGTATGTGTTATATGTGCATTAATATGCATATGTAAGGTAAACTGTGTCCAGTATTATAGGGTAAATAGGTTTTGTTCATAACTGAGGTATTCACATATTGATAATTACACATTATGTCTTATGGGAAGAAGTTATGTTTCACCTCAAGGACAACTTGACACAAATGGTGCTTTGGACCATTCAGAAGTCAAGGATCATGTGTATATGTTCTCTATGTCAAGCAAAAAGTTAGGAGAGCTCTTATGTGTACATCCTGTTTGAATTACTAATGCCAGTTTTGCTAAGAGCTGTTGTGATTTTCCCATGAGTAAGATGGGCGTAGATGAAAGATAACAGTGCAGAAGAATTGAATGAATCGGCTGATCATGGAAACTGTCATGGTAGTGCTTATCATTTGTATTTGGGAGGTGGTGTGTTTGAATCTTAGCTGGGACACCAGCTAGCCTTTTGAGAAGTGTTCAATTTGAATCTCAGCTTGGGCACTGGCTATCTTGACTAAGGTTTTTTGTGTACTGATTTGGATTCTTTGAGTTTAATTCGCCATTTTTTTGTCGAGAAGGCGACTTTGTTTACAGCTAATTGTAGATTTCTAGTTGAGCTTTCAACAGTCTCTTTTCAATTCATAATTTTTCAGTTGCCCTATCTTTTGATGCTGTATAGTGTGGGTACTGACAGTGCCATAAAATAATGCACAGAAAGTATACCTCAATTATAAAAAGTTCATTATTGTTTTAAACTTCCTTTGTGAAATCCACTTCATTCCATTTCAGTGTTCTGTATGACGTGATTCTCTTTAATTTTATTTCAGGAATGTATATGTATTGTTTTTAAAATAATAATAAAAGAAATGTTGTTAAAGATTTATGTTTTGTCTGGGGCCATAAAAGCTGGACAGCTATGTAAGGACTGAGGAGCGAGCCATTATCTTAATGTCTCATGTTATGTGATTAGCAGATATCAGCGTCCATACAAAGAAGTGCGCCCAGAGTTTGAGCCTGCCCCGTATTATGAGCCCCCCGAATTCCAGTATACTGGTCGAGGGGGTGGTAGGGGACGTGGTGGTCGTTTTGGACAACGGAAGGACTATGGTGCCGGTGGTGGAGGAGGAAAAGATTATTATGAAGAGAGCTTCTCTGGCAGCAGGTACATGACCTTACAGTACATAAATGTCCGATTACTTGTTTTATTCACTCTGCCAGGCGCTTTTGAAAACTTGGATTTTGTTGTGTGTGGAGCTCAGAAGTTAATTGTTTTTGAGGGTGTCACTTGAATAGCTTGCGGGGGTAATTCTGAGGGTGACACAAGTTAATTGTAATCTGATGTTTTGAACTAATTAGTGATTCTCTCATATGCTGGTAAATGGGCTGGAATATCAAAGAATTTTATTGGTGACGTGGAACAGAACCCAAGGCTGTAGAATGGAAGGTTTATGTTTCCTATCTGTGGCTGCACTATGTCATATGATATCTACATTGTGCCATCCCCTGTGGCATATGATATTTGTACTGTCACATCTGATGCCTTGCTGTGCCATCTTGCAATGTGTGTATTCCGTCTGTCTCGCTGTGACATAATATCTGCATTGTCCCATGCAATGTCTGCACCATACCATCCGGCAGCTGATCTGCTGTGTCTGTGATGTATCATGGGATATCTCTGTACCCTGCAGTGATGTCTCCTGAGGGAATTTCATCACAGTTGAAATCATTTTCCCATTTTTGCTGATTTGATGTTAAGTTCAAAATAGCAACATGTTAGAGATGGAACTGAACACAGGTCTTCAGGATGTATCCTGAGTCATGAATATTTTTGTAATTTATTTTAAATTTGAGGTACTTACAGCAGTGGCAATGAAGGTTACTGCCTTCTGGGATATGATACTATGTAGTCTGGTAGACAGGCACTAACATTTTGGAGGAACATTCTGCCTCCATTTTCAGGATAAAAGAGTAAGCCATGTTTACCTTGTGGGCATAGCTGTTGACATACGTCTTCAGAAAATGAGGACTACTTGCAGAGGAGATGTGTCATATGTTCCACTAACTCACTGTGGTCATCGGCTGACTTCTGTATGGTAGGCTCTTCAGAAGGGCAGTGATGTATTTGTAGTTGACTGTGTCAGGAATGACCATTATGTTGCCCTTGGCAGCTGAAAAGATCATGAGATCAGGATTGGACTGGAGAAACTACCATTCTGACTGGCAGATTGTCCCTGGGCCTACCGGACTCTTTCATAACCTGACAGTTTCGTGTTATTTACGTTGAGTTTTCCTATCCATTGCTTCATTTATCCACCATTTGCCTTTTCCAGTTTGCGTTTGTATTCTCGTAAAGCACTGCATCCCAACAAGGAGCATAGAATGTTGGATCTTGTTACAGTTGGGCTTGTGTTTTTGGAGTTCTAAAGCTTTTAAATTTAATGTGATCTTGAAGCAGGAGTCCATTGAATTGCGTAGAACCTGGGTAGTGGTATGTGGAGGGAGAAGAAATTGAGTTTGAGTGAATTTTTACATTTCAGTTACATAAAATCAACTGTCCATGTTTTCAAAGGCACTGACAGGGATGCTTCATTGTAGCCCAGAGGTATGACTGTGGACTGTGGGCATGAATAGCTCACTGCAAGAAAGTGGGTGTCTTTTCTTGAGGGTAAAACTGTTCTGCTGTGGATTCATGCTTTTAACTTCAGTATATATTTTGGTAGTTTGTATTAGATTGCTAAGGGATGGTTATGTAAGTTGTGATAAGAGTGTTTCATGACAAACTCTACGTGCATTAGGGCCGTGTCAGTTGTTACGAATGTGGCACAGTGATCACGTTAACATCAGTTGCCATAGCCATATCTCTGGTCATGTTCGCTTGTAATGTTTTGACACCATAACTGTTACTGGTGTATTTTAATGCAAATGTATTTTTGTAGTTTGACAATGTAGTGAAGAAACAGTTTATGGAAAGATGCTGTTACATTTCATTTCGTAGTCAGAAGAGAATAGAGATACTGTTGTCTGTGTGTTGTGTTCTCAGTTGAAATGTTGAATATGATCTGTTTACATTGTGTTATGTATAAGAACTTCACAGCTCTCTGACAGCCGAAGCTAATCCAATTACGTGAAGTAAGAACATGAATGAAGCAGTGCAGTTTTTATACATACATCCAAATATTGTATGATTTATCAAAGATATTCGTATATCATATCAGTAATGATGGGACCTTTGTCATGTTACTGTCAGTAGTGTTTTTGAAACTATTTAATCTGTTGGAATTGCCTGGTGGTCTAATTGCTTAAAGGTTTGCAAGAGTGTTCAGTTTATTATTAGAATATTATGTCAGGCATTGCCCATTATCTGGAGTATATTTAACATGCCTAACATTTTGGAAACAGCCTGTTTGCATCATCACATGTAATGGGTAAAGGATTGTGCTTAGTTGGGTCTCAATTAATGGACAGTACAGCAGTTATGACTGGCCCTTCATAATGGGCATAACTGAATACAGTGTCCTGTCATATGCCTGCCAAAAATGGTTCCATTTTCCAAAATGTTATATAAATTATACTGCAGAAAATGGACAATATCCAGCATAACATGGAATATCTTATGTTTACCATTTCAGACAAGATAACTTTATTCATTGCAGAGTATTGCACCATGCAGGAGTAGTAAAAATTACTGACATTTAGGAGAAACTGGCTGCCTTCAGCTTTAAGGCCAGAATAGCCTTAGGTATTTTTTTCATCCTTGTGTGATTTTAATTTGAAGCAAAAAAAGATATATATACACTAAAAGACAGTAATAATAAGCATTTTAACTCAAACCTTGCATCATACTTGGTAATCATCAGTGAAAGGCTCTTCTCTTATAGAAAGAGGTGAGAATACTAGTGAGTGTCTGAAGATTGCATTGACCCTGAAGAAGAGGGTCAACGCAAAGAAATTTCTTCTTAAATGTCCTTAATTTATCTCTTTTGATGCATGGCAATATTCATTGAGACCATGATGAATGTGAATCACTGAAATCCACGCATTTCATAACATTAAGTTTATCATTTATTGATTGCATGTCTGGGACTGATTGTGAATTGCGATTTTCGCTTGCCTGTCAGATACACATTTACGTAAAGAGGTAGTTACCCTGTTAATAACACCTATCACCCACTCTGTAACTTTGGCTTTTGGGGGTACGGCCACATTGTGTGTGGAAGCTGTGTCGCCATTCTTTTAGGTGAATGAGGCAAAGGATGGTGTATTGTTATGGCCTGATACTGCGGTGGAGTAAGGGGGTTGTATTATACACTGTGGTTAAACACTGAAAGCAGAAGTTACAGTAATACAGTGTAGTCTGCAAAAGCCTAAGGAGAAGATAACATTAGCCCAAATCATAATTTTTTAAAATAGCAAAACAGTGTGTCCACAGGTGATTGCCTTCAAGGCATACTATTCGTTGCAAGTCCTAAGGATAGATGTGTTCTGGTCTAGTTGTTTGAAGCTCTGCAGGGGCTCAGACTTTATTGTAAATTTCATACATTGAAATTGAATATCAGGGCCTGTGATTCCAAATGCATCTGAACACAGTGTTACATAGCGATCTCCACCATCTTGATATCTCATACCCTGTTGAAGCTGATTGTGGTATCTAAAGTGATCAGAAACCGCACTGTGTTGTTGATATAACATTATTGTAAACTGGTGACATGAGTCTTTGTTCACACTTTATTTTGTCATATTTTTAATACAGTTGCATAGAGATTTTAATTAAGGAAATTTGGATTTTGAGATTGTAAACATTTGGGTGAACAGTGATAATATTTCTAATTCGTAGGTTCACAAGATAAGATTGTTTCTGCTGTAATTGCACAGTCACTTGTTTTCATCTTCTTATATATATATATATATTGATGCTGTACTCTGATTTTCATTTTGCTTATTGAACTCAACCGTTTGACCATACAAATATGTGTCTTGAAATTATCGGCCCTCAGTCAGCATGTGCTAGTCCATAGTCGAAGCACAGTTTAAATTTCTGTGAACTTTGCGTTTTTGTTAAGAAGATACTGATGTTTCGCACATGGCTTTACAGCTACACAAGCTTTATAGCATGAGGTTTGTGTGGGTACACATCCTCCCTTGCTGCATAGATTGAAACCTGATATAATTGTGATTTATTAAAACTATGATACGTCGGGCAATCCAAAAGTTACCGAAATTTGAATTTTGCGTGCATGAGTACAGTGAAATACCACTAAGTGTCTCCTCACACATCCTTCTTGAATCAGTGTGGCAAGCAGTGTCGAGTTGAGTGGTTGAGTTTATTGTTGGTAAACGTATTTCCATTGTTGTGTTTCCGTGAGTTTGCGGTTTTGCAATAGCTGACCTGAGAGAGCAGCGTGTCTGTATAAAGTTTTGTTTCACACTTGGGGAAAACCGCTGCAGAAACGCACCAAATGTTGAAGCAAGCTTTTGGTGAAAACAGTTTAGGCCACACACAAACTTCAACTGGTATAAACGTTTTAAAAATGGCCGAACATTGACTGATGATGACGATTGTTCGGGACGGCCGTCAACGGGCAAAACACCAGAAAATACAAGGTGTGGCAATAAAGAACCCGGATTACTTTTATGACTCATTTCCGGCCACGTCATTGACGAAGAGGAGGGTAGGGCATTGACCCTTGGACTTCCCTCTACCGTCACACAAAGTTTCATTCACGTGCATCGGTTAGTCTGGCCGCGACCATTGTTAGAAGCGGATCGTGTTTCTGAGCTCCGTCGGAATAATGCTGAGTGCTAATGCAGAACAACGTGCTAACATCAAATTCCTCACAAAACTTGGAAAATCTGCCACTGAAACTTACAATTTGTTGACAGAAGTATATGGTGATCAGTGTCTATCTCGCACGCAAGTTTTCGAGTGGTTTAAGAAGTTTATGGAGGGTAGGAAAAACGTCGGGAACGATCCAAAATCGGGCCGTCCTCCCACTGCGAAAACTCCAGAGAATGTGGAGAAGGTCGCTAGAATTGTTCGAAGAGATCGTCGACTGAGCATTCGAGCAATTTCTGAACTTACGAACATCAATAAGGAAAGTGTTAGACAGATTTTGCACGACGATCTGGGCATGAAAAAGGTGTGTGCTAAAGTGGTGCCAAAAA